TCGACATGAGAACGGCAAGGAAACAGGAGAGAACGGTAAGGTTTTAGGGTGAGATACAAAGATGAATAAACATAGATCCTTAAATAACGAATAGAAGAAAAAAAAAGTAAATTCACCTTTCTCCATAACACTCTTTTTCAACCTTTCAACCTCATCATAACCCGTAGCGACGTTCAATCGTTTATTCAAAACCTCTACAAACCTCTCACTCGTTTCTCCTAAAGAAGTTATAAATATCTTCCAACGATTTCTCAAACTCCCCTCATTCTCAATCTCAATCTTTCCATCCTCTCTACCTTCTTCAGAATTTTCAACCTTAAGGTTCTGTTGTGTCGACCCTGTATATCTTCCTTTGAACTCCCCAGCATCATCTTCTTCGTTGACTTGAACCTCGGACGTTCTCTCAGTAGAGTTTGATGAAGAAATCTCCTCTAGATTTACTCTTGTTTCCCCAACAGGTGTTCCTCCTTCTGATTCTTCAGTCTCTAGTTCGTCTTTACTCGTGATTATTCCTGAGATTTCAGATTCGTTCCCCATCGCACCCGACGGATTAATTTCATTTATACTTGTAGACCGATCCCCAGTATTAGTCGTACTACCCGACGCTCCGTTCGATTCTTGAGTGAAAGAGTCGCTACGTGTAGGGTCCGGAGTCGTATTAGCAGTCGTTTTTTTATCTTGCTGAGTGTTATTTCCTGAACTGAACCTTCTATATGAATATGACAATATCTTCAGTTCCATGATTCTTCTTCGAGGGGGATATGAAAAGATTGTATTGTGAAATGAGTCATGATGAATTCGTCGGGTTGATATTCGTAGATGATTTGCGAAACTTCTTCGGGATGAATTATAAGGTACAGTATACCATCCACCAGGAGGTGGTATCAAAGGGAGTAAGGCGGGTATATGTTGCGTTTCACTCGATGCGTTCGAAGTGGATTGGTTGTAGGTTGAATGGGGGAGAGTTGTAATGGTCGGATACGAGATGTGGTGGATATGTCTGACAACGGGTGTGAGTTTACTGAGGAATGGATGTTTCGTAGGTATACCGAGTATAGGACATGTCAAACGGGACATTCCGGCCGCTATAGCGGTCAGACTCAGAGTGAATGGTTTGTGGTACTTATGTAGTTGATTGTGGACAGGGAGGATGGAAGGGAGACGACCGTGGGTAAAAGAGAGAGTGGGGGAGGAAGGTGGGGTGAAGAAGATACGAAGAAAAACGGTAGAGTAACTCATGAGTAGTTCTTTGTGGGAAGATGTGATAGACAAAAGATGCAATATGGATAGTTTTACAATATATGTATGTATATAGATCATCAACAAAAACTCAATATCTCTCCCTATCTCATCACTACTATCTCCAAGCCAATCACATCATGTCGAGTCATGTATCTCTACATTCTCAAGAATCTTCGGTGTCATCATGTCGTTCGTAAACCGTATCGTCGTATCACATCGTCAAGTCGTCAGGTCGTTGGGTCGCTCATTCACCAAGTCATCACACTACTGGGTCGTCAAATCGTTAGGTCGCCAGGTCGTCCCTCAGATCCACAAGTAACTCAACCAAATCATCAAGAAACATACCAGATATAGTCAGGGAGAAAGCATAGCTCCTACTCTTGACTGAACAATCTCCATTTCTTCCTCTGACACTTGTTCCTTGCTTTCCTTCTTATCCTCTCCCTCCCTAATGACTGTATCATCTCTGTCCGACTCCTGTTCAGATGTGACTCCCTCGGAAGACTCGGTTGCTTTTGTCTCAGTCATCCCATCCTGTGATGATGTCGAGGCTTCCATTTCCTCTCTGGCCGGATCTGAATCCACCGGGCCAGCCGATATAGCCCCTGGCGATCTGGTACTTTGCGACAATACATCGGCCTGATGTTTTTCCCTTCTTGAAACCCTTTCTTGTTGTTGACCAGCCAACACCTTGGCTTTCTGACATCTATCCTCTAATTCGAGATCGTACACTTCTTGTTTTCCAAAGTAGGCGAGAGCAGAGAGGACGTGTCTGTCCAACGGAGCGGGTGAATCGGGATCGACAAGAGAAGCATTCCTAGCTTCTTCCTTCTTTTGACTTTCATCAACTGTTGTGATAGCAACCTCTTGTTGTTGTTCGACAGACTCTACCACGTCCGCTCCACACGCTCCCGTCGATGAAACGATGTTTTGACTATTGTTGACCTTCGGAATTGATTGAGGTTTAAGCTCGGAAGAAGTTTGAACGTTTGATTTCTCAACATCTTTGACCTTATCATGACTTGTCCGTCGGATCTTCTTCTGTATAGGTTGATGCCATTTATTTCCTTCCGAACACATATAAGCGGCGAAACGAGGCATGATAGTATCAGCATCTCTATGCCAATCTTTTTCGTACGCTACTTTCCTTTTACCCATTTGAGTCCAAGCGTGTACTAAAACAGGAACGTGATTCCCATCTTTGTCGTCGACACCTATACCTTTGACGAAATTATCAGTATCGAAAGAAGAACCACTAGTCTCTCCATCTTCATCAGGAATTCGACGTTCACGAACTTGTTTTATCCCCTTTTCCCAACCGGGAGGAGTTGTGAGCCATTCCCATAAATCTTCTTCATCTTTGAATCCTGATAACCATCGATCATAATTCAACCCAGCCCATTGACATAGCTCATATACGTCCGTGGTGAGTTTGACGGTTATTGGACGAAGACCGATGTAAGGTAAATGTCGGATGCAAAGACTGGCAGGATGACATTGAATCTTTTTCGATGCTCGGTGTAAGGAACTGGAGAGGAGAAGTGGGACTTGACCGAAGGACGTATGAAAGAGATTGTATGTGAATGAATAGACGGGTGTGAGGATAAGATCGACTTGGTAGAATGGCTATTGTCAGTATCACCTCATACAGTGCCCAAATCCTCATCAAAATCACTTCGATTGCTAGGCAATGGATCGTGTACACAATCATAGGTTACACCCCGTAGCGTAGCACATGACATGGTCAAATCCCAGTTATCTTCAAACGGATCGTTGTGTACTGAGATGTGTCGGATAGTCTCACTCACCTCCATATCACCTAACCATTCCAATCCCTTAGCATAAACCTCATCTATCAACCTAATCGGTACAGCCAAACTTATAGCTACCGACCCTCTTTTCCAAACCTTTGCCCCAACTCTTCTCGTAACTTCCTCACATAACTCTCTATACCTACCACCACCTTTCCCAGTAGCTTCATATTCCATTCCTTCACCTCCCTTCTCTTGACCTGTGAGAGGTTTCCCATCGGCTGGATAATCCGACCAAGCGCAAAGCAAGTCTAGATCACCATGAGAGGTTTTAGTTTCGAAATGACGTAAAGAAGCCATTTGTGGGAATATGGTATCAAGATGGGAGATACAGTATTGAGTGAATTGTTGGAGTTGAAGAGTGGTCAGACGGTGACCTGGGGTGAGGAATGCGTGACCGCCCATTGTGTGATGGAGTGTTTGGAGCAAAGTGGGGTTTGAGCTTGGGCCGGGGTGGATACCTTAAAAGAGAGAGAAAGGTGTGTTGAGAAAGAACGAGGCTAGATGAATATATCTATAAGATAATAGATCTACTTCTATCAAATAAGATCAAGGAGATCAAGCGGAGTAAAATGATTCAGAGAATGGGGGTTGGTGGGGGGGGGGGGGGGGGAGGTTTAGGGGGAGGAGGGAAAAAGAATGTGGTCGAAGAAGGTGTGGAGAGATGGATGTTACGCCAAGCTACAAGTAAACTACTATTGAGCAAGACACTAGATAAACAAGAATTGATAAATTCGACAAAACACGTATGAGAAGACAAGAAGACAAAAGAACGAGAAGAAGAAAGATGGTGAGAAGAAAGTTGGTGAGAAGTGATCGAAGATCAAGTGGGGTCAGAGTGGGGAACACTCACTCTTCTCTTTCCTTCACCAAGAGTCAAGCAGGTAGGTATCGTACCAAATATAGATACGTATAGATGTAGATAGGATAGAGAGGTGTAAGAAGAAACAGAAGAGACATAAGATACAGTCGTTCTGGCTACATGAGGCTGACTTGCGTGTCGTAGCATGCAGCATGGTGATATAGCATCAACCTCGAGGCGAAGAATGAAGATCTGTATGGATCATACGAATAGAGTGCTCGTGCTGTAGAATAATGACATGAGGAATTTATATAACAGCACGTTGCATCTCATATCTTATGTTTTATATATATACCACACCAAGCATTTCATTCCAAAGTACTATCCAATCCTGCTCTCCCCTATCAACTTTACAAATATGAAATAACCACAAATCAAAGCAACATAAAGCAAAGAAGCAAAACACAACAAGCAAAACTCTCCTCATTCTCTCCCACTTTGAACTCTCCTCAATTCCGCTCCTTTGACCATATTCGACAACAATCCCTCTTTCTCAAAACTACGTACTAATTCAGAAACTTTAGGTCTTTTCGATCCCGAGATAGGTATGGGTATACCAACAACTTTCTCCCCTGCATCCTTTTCGGGAGTATGAACAGGTTTATCGAACAATTTGGACAAAGCGGTAGATCGAGCTGACATAGGTGGGTTGAGAGTTGGATATAAACGTTTGTTAGTGGGTGTGAAAGATTGGTCTGAGGACGGAAGGGTTGGATAGATATGTGACGTTTGGGAGTTGGGCGTTATAGGAGTATGAGTAGAGTTGGTGGAAGTGGGTTGGGAATTTGAGTGATTCATGAGGTTGGTGGGGTCTGAGACGGGTCGAGTAGAGGTTAAAAGTGATGAAACGCCTTTCCATTTCGGAGAAGATGGGTGAGCGGGAGGTTGAGAAGGTTTTATGATAGAGCTCGAAGAAATTTGTTTCATCTGGTTTTGCGATCCAACTTCAGACACCGGTTTAATTATTGTAGATGATACAGCGTTGGAGGTATATGTTCCAGGGAGATGCGTGATCGTCGTCGTCGTTGAAGTTGAGGGTGGAAGAACGGGTTGAGGTGTCGAATCAACTGGCCTGAGTGGTGCAAGAGGAAGAGAAGACGAAGGGTTGCTTGATGAAGAAAGAGTACCTTTGGTTCCAACAGCTTTCAACCTACCCAACAAACCTCCTTCTCGAGTTGACTTCTCATATCCTCCTGAAAACGTAGACAGCAGAGATAAATCTCCTTGACCATCGAAGGCAGACAACACGGATACATCTTGTTGTCCAGTACCAACAGACTTCTGAGAAGATAAATAAGGAGTTGAATGTATAACTCCTCCTTGTTTCTTGGAAAACGAAAAAGCATAATCGATCATTCTCCTAATGGTCGAAGGTGGTATCAAATCGCTTCTTTCATGAATAATCGTAGTGTCTTCTTCGCTAACATCATCTCTTTGACCGTGTGATTTTCTCACGTCAGTCTTTTCGTTGGGTTTCGCGGAATCAACATGAGATGTGGAACCGGAAGGATCTTGTCTACGACGTTTGGGATTGAAATTTTCTTCTTGCATTATTTTAGCTTCTACCCTTCGAGTTAGAGCGTCGACGCGGAGTTTGATCAGGTCTCTGTGACGTTAGTGAATGATCTGCTGATCTCTTATAGACTTTGTGCGATCCAACTCCAATCTATTGTCTCAGGAGAACGACTTTGCCTCGAGATAAAACTAGGGGTGTGCGGCCATGGTACGAATTATGGGATGTGAGACTACGGACAGGTACGAGATGCAGAATGACAGGAATTCGATTCGAAACATGAAATATAGTCAGATGAAGAGAGATGTCGTGAGAGATGATAGGTAAGAGAGAGGGAAGGTTTAAAGAAGAAACCATGATTGTGTCTATAAAGAGAAAAACAGAGGAAAAACAAAACCCACCGACTCCATTCCCCCTCTGCAACCCTTCCTTCTTCCTTCAAAAATCGATCCACAACCCTTCCACCATCCCATTCTCTAGCCTCCGCCTTACTCTGTGTCCCAGACCAAGAGAACAAACCCAACTTTGATGGTAATGGCTTAACATTCCTTTCCTTAGTCCATTCCTCTCTCTCAGTTCTATAAACTTTCTCAAGTTTCTTCCATTCTGTCACTCCCCAAACCCTCTCCTTATCCTTTCCCTTTCCCTTTCTATCCCTTCGTCGAACACTTGTTTCTCCTCTTCGTTCTGTAAAATCCGATGTGTCCCCTGAAGATAGTCTAGATGGACCGGGACCGGCTTTAGTGGGAGATACTGACATCCCGCGTTTCCTTTTAGTTCCTGGTGTTCTTATCCATCCTCCGGGAAGATAAGGACTATCAATATTTCCTCCATCCCCACCTTTTGAAGAAATCGGACTATCGGAATGACCCATGCCACCGTATTGGACAGAATCTGTACTATCGATCGTACGTGTTGACGGGGCGGCGGAACGGGAACGAGATCTTCTCAATGATATCAAATCTAATTCCGCTTCAAGTAAAAGTTCAGATTTATCAGCTCGTGGTGTTTTGTCACCTTTTGGAGTATGACCATGTTCGATATAAGCATGATTCTGTTATCAGCGACATATCTCTCATACCACTTGAAATCCTGTCCCCACCCGACTCGTCAATGGCTTCATGGGCATGTTCAGAGGTACCGCTCAAAACTAGTGGATATGGTTAGAGCAACGAGGTCGATTGACACCTACAAAGACGGCTGTTGGAAAGGGAAATGGAAGGAAGTGACGAGTTAAGTTGAACTTACCAACTTCAAAATCGCCGCTGCTCTGGCTGCTGCTTTAGGATCCAAACTGCTAACCTCTACTACGCTTTTAGATTTCTCATCCCTCATACTCAATTCCTGTAAAAGGGATCGAGTAGGTCCTAAAAGTCTGACAGACCGATCCGCTTCATCTACTTCCATCAACGAATCGATTGATCTGTCCATTTCATTCTCCACCCGGTCAGATCTCTCATCTCCCACTTGCATACCGAGATTGTCCTTTCGCACTCGTATACTCTGACCTGAGTTTCCGCGGTGAAAGATGTCCAAACCAAGTTCATTTGCCGTCTCCTGAGACGAATGACGGGAGGAGCCGGCTTGCGCATTGTCAGACTGCTGAGAATGGGATTGCTGAGCAGAAATGGGTCGCTCGGGGCTTTCAAGAGGTACTTCATGCGCCAATCTCGATGGGTGACGGGGAAGAGTTTGAAAAGAGCGACGGGTTAACATCCATTGGAGTCCTTCGGATGTACGGTCGTCTTTCTTCGGTGGGATTGGTGTTGTGGGAGTTGTGCCTGCGGAGACGGGTGCTACAGAGGTCGTGGGGTTTGCCGTCACTGGGACAGCATTCGTCGAGGGAAGAAGTGGCGATTTGTTCGAATTTTCGGCAGCGATCTCAGGAGGAACGGAGAAGTCCGTGGACTCACCCAGGCTCAGCTGAGCTCTTGTTTGAGAGGGAAGTCTAGGAGATTTAGACATAGGCCCTACTGGCGTAGACGAGGGAGGAGGAGGAGCAGTTTCCGTGTTCGATGTAACAGTGTCGATGAGAGAACTTGTTCGAGAGTTATTCTCAATTGTCATTCCAGTGGACACGACGGGCGACGAGGCATGTTGAGCCAAAATAGGAGAAGGAGTTGTCTTTTGGGTGAGCGCAGGAGAAGGGGGTGCCTGTCGTAACGTCGTCTTGCCTTTCACAGGGGAACGAACAATCTCGGCAGTCTGTTTGACATGGGTCGAGGAGATAGAAGAATGAAAACTTTCTGCTTGTCGTCGTGAGCGAGGCGAGGCCACAGAGCGAAGATCACCGCTTGCGTTCCCTTCTGGTCGAGGTGAAGCTACGGGAGAATGTATAGTCCCTGCAGCTTGTTTCGACCGAGGCGAGGCCAAAGGCGACTGGATACCTGAAGACTTCCATACTGATTTAGCCGGCGAGGTGTCCGGTGGTGATGTAGCCAGAGTAACATCCGGCGGTGGACGTAACGTTCTCTCGCTTGCTGGGTGCGGAGATATAGCCATCTGGGGGACCGGTGTGGAAAGGCGTGCCGACCGACGCGGACTTTGAGGTGATAAGACGGACTCGCCAGACTCGATGAGCTCAGGTTCGATCTTGATAGGAGGATGTTGAATAAGACGAAGGATCAAAGTCTCACTTTGTTCTTCCCTTTCTGAGCTGGAAGATTCTTTGTCGGCACCGAGGTCTTTGTCTCTTTCGGTCTCTGAGAATTGCTCTTCTCCATGTGACATTTCTCCTTCATTCATTGTAACTCCTTCGTCTTCTTCCATTGAAGCTTCTGATTCTTCCTCATTTGAAGTCTCCTCATCTGTCGTCGAGGATGTTTCCTCGTCGTGTTCGTGTTTCAAAACAACACCGTCTGCTTCAATTATAACACCGTTTTCCATCTGATCATTGAGCGAGTGGGCAAATGAACTTTGGTCCTCTTGAATTGACATTTCCGATTCTTCTTCAATTGAGCTTTCTCCTTCTCGGTCTAAACCTTCATCGGGCTCGATTGGAGTGACTTCTTCGTTCATCGAGTCATTGAGTGGTTGAGGAGATACGGCTTGCTTCTCCTCTATCTCTCGAGTATAGTCTCCGTCATGATGGAAACAAGGCCCATTGAGGTGTTGCGGTCGAAGTAATGGCGAATGAGTTGAGACAAGTCGAGGACTAAAGGCAGGCGAATGAGTTTTTGACACTGGTTGAACAGGCTCAAAGTGCACGGGAACTTCTTGATCATAAAACGCAGGTGTTCCGAACACCGCATCACTGTCTTCGTCCCATTCTCCCGCTTCGCCATCTAGTGTCACATCCCCTACCGACTCGTCCACCTTCTCTTCCGGCTGAGAAGCACAATCGTCCTCAGGAGTGTCGAATTTATTCATAGGCGACAAAGGGCTGACGAAGTCATGTGATATCTCCGTCGATTGGGTGCGAGTCGATTCTATTGCGACCTCGTCTAAATGTCCATTAGGTATCGGTATCGCTGCTTCGATAGGGGACGTGTCCGCCACTTGAACATCCTCTTTCACGCCTAACACCACCGTCTCAGCAGAGCGAGATTGGTCATCGAGATCAACATGCTCTTTCTTCTCAAGAACAAGATTCCGTTTGTCTGGGTCAGACAGAACAGGATCCACAACAGCTTGATATTCGTGTAGATGAGCAACTTCGGTTTCGTCATGTTCCTCGAGAACAGAATCACCATATTCTTCGTCCTTCTTTCCTTGAGACTGAACCATCAGCGAAATCCCTTCGGAAAGAATTTCCCGACTTACTTTGTCCTCATAACCTAGCTCCTCAGTCAACGCACGTACATCAATCAAATCTTCCAATTGCATCTCCTTCTCTCTTTGTACAGGAAAAATCGACCTCTCTTTCTCACTAGGCATGCTACCCACGTCGAGCACAGAAGCAGATGTCCCTTGCCCAGGTAGAGGACCTTTGCTTCTTCTGCGAACACGATCAAGACGGCCAGATTCCTGTTTGGCATATGGATTTTGTGATCCTTGATGGACTTTGATAGCGGGATCAAGCCTAAGGTCCTCGATGACTCTGTCGGGCACAACAGAATTTTCGCCTCCACCTTCTTGACCGATCACCTGCGTCTCAGCAGAGTCGGAAAACATGAGCTCTTGTAATTTCTCCCCTGATTGACCCACAAGCTCGGATGGAGGCGAAATGTGTATTGTGCGAGTCGCCATTTCAAGCCGCGGAGATCGAGGAAAGATCGGTTTCCATCCAAAAGGCGATTTACTGACCTTATATCGGTCAGGATACGATCGTTCCCCAGAACTGATCAGGATGGGTGAAGCTGATTTCGAGGGTGGCAGAAGCTGAGCTGGTGAACGTAACACAGATGAAGAGCTAGAGGAAGGATTGTGAGAGCTGGGAGACCTTATGAGGCCAAGTCTGGGTGTAGAAGGATGCGACGTGTTCCAATCATCACTAATTGCTTCATCGGTGAGGTCAGCTTCCTTGTGATCCATTTCATCCAAGAGTAATTGAGTGTCTTTTTCGACATGGAACGAAATAGTTGAACCCTCTTTCCTTGGCGATGGGAATGAGAAATCGGTAACACGTACCGGAGTAGATGTGATTGGAGGGGATCCTTCTAATATCGTCTGCCCGACCGGATTGAGCTCTGTGAATGGTGACTGGGGAGAGATAGATTGGATTTCCTCCGGCTGAGAGTGCCAGTCTTCTGCACGCTCGCCATCTTCTTGAGGGAGGACTCTGGAAAGTCCCCGATGGTCTCTGGTCACTTCAACATGAGCAGAATCGACTATGGAAGAGGTACTCAGAACAGGAAGAGTAGGAGAGTTGTGGATGTCGACTCGGAGGATGATGGGCGAAGTGGGGATGTCAATCGAGGACACATGAGGGTCATCGTGTTCTTTCATCATGTGCTTTGCCCCCTCATCGACTGGCTCGGACGAGTTTGAGGTGTGGATAGTCTCGATGACTGAGGTAGAGTCCGTCGTCAAGTTTGACGGAACGTCGACGAGACGTGGTGAAGGCGAAGTGTCCCATTCCGTACTGTTGACCTCCGCTGTGACATCACCTTCGCTCTCTTCACCCAGCTCCGACGATTCCTCAGTCACATCACCATTGGTATTTGGGACAAGAGGATCAACCGGTAGATTGCTTTCCTCCTCAGTGAGCGACTGTGGTCCAATTTGTTCGTTCGGCTTTAACGAAGATGGCGTCTCTGCTCTTGCGATATCCTGCAAAGGGAAGATGGGTGACGTAGGAGGAGAAGGATCCCAAGCACCACCGTCAATCTCAATGGTGATATCCGCTTCTTTGTCTTGCGCATCACAGCTTCCCCTATCCGTCGAGTCGGACGAGAATGAATGTTCGAGTGCGTAGTCAGAGGATTGATGGGAGATATCGAGATCAACAAACGGTTCATCAGGCCTTTCCATCTCCTCCCTCGTACCTGCCCATTCGGATCGTTCACGAGCGGGAGAGACTGCTGCCATGGCTGAAGGTGGACGAAGGTGTTCGACGGTGATATCGTCAACATCGGCGCCGACTTCCGAAGGGAGGATGCCCTGGTGGAGTGGACTTTTGGCGCGTAGAGATGTCGCAAGTTGATTTGTGGTGCCTGGGTCTCTGTGGTGGTAAAAGGTATCGTCCGGAGCGGAATCGGAATGCGCGTCACTGTCTGATGCCCATCCAGCCCCAAAGTCAAGATCGTCATGTGTATTGTCATGATCATCCCCGATCTCCCCATTCGTCTCCTCCGGATTATTCCTAGTCATTTCCAAATCCCGTACGTCTCTAGTTGGCTCAGAGGAAAAGGAAGAGGATACACTTCGGCTTGCGAGATGGTCGTGGCTGTGGGCTTGTGGGCTCGTGGAAGTTGGTCGGACGAGAGATACGACTCGGGCACGGGGTGTAGGATCAATCGAAAGGTTTTTTGAGCGCCTAGAAGCTCTTGGTCGTAGAAGTAGCTCATCATCTCCTGGCGTACAGGGTACTACAGTTGGTAAGACACCCAACTGTCTTCCATTCAACGCCTTTTTCTGCACTGGCGTCATGCCTCTTATTCTCGCCGTCGCCGGTGTGCTCGATCGCGCCCTATGAGCTGGAGTTTTCAACGACTTCCTTCGATTAACTGGGACCGTCGCCGGTGCTTGCTTTACAACGTCTTTCCCCTTGCCTTTCCTCGACTTCGATTGAGAAGAGGTCGACTGCGAAAGAGTCGTAGCTGGCGTGTGGAGTGACATTCTTCCACGTCCTTTCTTTGTTGGTCGAGGTTGCGGAGTGAGAATGATCTCTTTGATATCAGGATATACAGGTGATGGTAATCTCCAAGAGTAGTCAAAATCATGGTGCTGCAACTTTGGCGATTTCTTCCGTCTGGGGTTGGGAGACGGACCGTCGGAGGGCTGAAGTGGGACAGAAAACTCCCACAAGCCTTCCTGTGTATCCTCTGTTGGGACTGGGATTCCCGATATACTTGCCCTCGGCCGAGGCGGCGTGGCTGTGGGTCGAGGACGGATGCGAGATGATAGCGTCGACCGAGCTGGCGGGGAAGGTGGTGAGCCTTGAGAAGAAGGAGGAGTAGGTAGACGAGAGATAGGATGTCGACGCGTAGAGGAAGGAGTTGTAGAGATGAGAAGTGGGTCATTGATCTATTCATCAGCTCTGTTTCAGGCTTTTTGATGGCTTTTGATGAACCGGTTTCAGGCACGCACTCTTGTGTCTTGTGTGGCCTTCGGGGTCAACAAATGTTCTTGTGTAGTAGCATCGGTGATTTGCTTGTCAAAGCGAAAAGCAAAAGTGCGAGTGTCTTCCCATTCGTCAAAAGTCATATCGGGGAGTTGCACATTCAACAACTGTGTCACATTGTCGTCTATGACCATGGAAGGAGATCGTCTCGGTAGTCTGTCCTTGCTTTGAGACGGATGTTGAATGACTCTCGGTGTAGGAGCTGATGATTGCGATGAAGTTGGAGAGGAGCGAGGTAGTGTTGGGGGTTTCTTGACTGATGTCCGTGGTCTAATCACAGGCTTTGAGGTGACCTTGGCCATTGGCTTGTTGATTGAAACTTTGGTGAGAGTCGATGGAGGAAGAGAGACATTGCCGGAGAGCTCCCCAAAAACAGGACGAGGTTTACGAGCAGCAGTGGGTATACGGGATGTGACAGAGGTATGAGGAGATCTAGCGACGAGACGAGAGAGAGTTGTGAGGGATACGGTGGTAGCTGATTGGGTTGACAGGGTGCGTGGTTGGCGACCTGGGGTGGCCTGTCGGGCTGGATGAACCTCTCTCGCCATTGTTGCGCACCGACTACACTGCTGTGACCAAAGCGGAGTGTGCGTGGGTATCAAAAAGAGAGCGAAGAAGAGAAGACGAACGTATAAAAGAAGGACAAAAGTTGGGTCAACTGATAGGGGAAAGGAAGGGGAAGAGGGAAAAACAAAACATACGCGCGGTGGGCGGCGAGGGGTGAAAGTGGGGGGAACATTTAAATCCCAGTACAGCCGGAACCCACTCCGCCCTTGCTTCCTTTGCTTCCCCCCCCTCCCTTCATATCGCCTCTCTACTACTATCTAATATCTCTCTAGTCTCTTGTCATATCTACAGTATCACAGTATCACACCTTGATAATGTCTAGACCTCCTCCTTTGAATCGACTAGAGTCAGCTCCTTCTATCAATTCACATCCTTCAACATTGCCTTTCCCACGATCGGCCACTTCCACAGCTCCTACTCCTTCTCCTGTTCCTCCGGCGCTTGGCAGCCTTCCATCCACCCCGACCAGTAGCATCAGCAACCCCATCGGGTCGTCGAATAGAAATATGGGTGTCAATGCAGCGTCAACTTCAGGTCCCGTCAACCCCGATGCTCCTACGGGGACAACACTGAGACCGAGCTATGCGTTGACCAGTGATCGTGACAGGGAGCAACAGCGTGAGAGAGAGCAGAGGGAGCGTGATAGGGGTGAGTTTTCCTTTCTCCCTCTCCTTCGATCTTGTATGCTGAACCCATCAGATCCCAAATCCATCTCATTCTCCAACTCGCTCTTATCTCGAACCAGTGACCCTTCTATGTCGCATCACTCTCATCCTCATGCTTCCGCTCACCATCACCACCACCATCATCACCACGTGCATCCTCGCCCACCGGGTTCATCGTCCACTCCCACCTCCACACCCGGCTCTGACCGTCCTTCTCCATACTCTACGACTCTCCCATCGGCCAGACGGGATCCTCCGCCCGTTCCTGGTCGTACTCCCGGCACGAGGCCACCTTCGGCGTCTTACGCCCACTTATTCGGCATTCCTGGTTTTCGAGACTCTCCCAGGGAAAGTCAAAGGAATACAGCGCCGAGCCAAGAGAATCGCTACTCGAAGCCTCCCTCTCCTAAGAAAGAGCCAGCTGTCATACCTTCCGGGCCATATGCTATCCAATCCAATCCGACCTCACCCACGGCTTCGCGTGCCGGACATCCACCGCCAGGTCAAGCGACTGTGACAAGACCATCAGTATCACCACAAATGTTAACCATCACTCCTGGTCCTCAACCACCGACAAGACCGAACCTGTCCTTGCCCAGTCTCTCGACTCTGGGCAGTCGCTCCTATCCCTCATCTTTTGACAAAGATGTTCGGGACGGATCGGCCAGCTTTACGGGGGCTGACTCGGGAGCTCATACACATGGCAGGACTCTGAGTGGCAGTAGTAATCGTGCGGATCGCGAACCTCTCCCTGGTGTTCCATCCCTGCAAGCTAGCCCTGGCAAAGGCCAAGGACAGAGTGGTTTACAGACTCAATCTCAAACGTCGTCTCGAAATTTCTTCTCCGGACCACCATCCCTTGGCTTGTCAGCCAGGGATCGAGAACTACAACGTTCGCCGTTGGCTAGGACTACGGCTCCTCCGCACAGAGAAGGGGAAAGAGACCCAGTGATCTCACCCCCACGTTCCACTGTAGTCCCACCGCCCACAGCGACCAGCAATAACACCGCTCCAACATCCGGTGTCACTTCTGCACCTAAACCTTCTGTTCCCGGCGCATCTCCCTATTCCTTCTCTTCCACCCCTTATACCTCCAGCTCGCAATACGGCCCGTACCCGTCGTATCCAGGCGCCGGGTTCGGTTTCACTCCATACGGTTGGCAAGACCGAGAGCGTGACCGGGATATCCGGCAGCAAGAGAGGGATCGTGAAGCACGAGAGCGACGTGAATTACGGGAGCAAAGAGAAGCTGATTGGCGACGTGAGATTGATAGGGAGGAGAAAGCTGCTCGTGAGGACCGCATCAGGAAAGAAGCAGAATTACGCAACCGTGAACATCAGTCTGTCGAAAAACCTGTTGAGCGATCCCTCGTCGGAGTAGAGACAAAACCTTTTCAACCTCCCCGTCAACCATATACTGATCGTCGTTATCGCGAACAAGATTATGAGGTGTCGGCCTTACAGCAAGTTGCACCGCAACGGGAACCTCGGCCGTATGTCATCAAAGCTGAACACCCCCGCGAGACGCAGAAAGAGCGCGAGTTGAGGGAACGCGAATACAATTATCAACCGCGTGATTCAAGAGATAAGAGATCGCGTATGGATGCTGCGGTCGAAGAACAAAGTCGACGTGGGAGCGCGGGTCGTAAGAGACGTAAACCCGACGAAGAGGTGCTTACCCAACCTCAACCTACGCAATATAAAGATTTCACAGCTCTCACCACACCTCAACATAAGATTATAGAAGTGACGTCTGGTCCCGTGGAACAGTGGTTGAAGACGATCCCTGACCTGTCTAGGATCGTATCTAGACAGGTGTATGGTGGGGCAGGGTGGACTTTTGCTAAATCTAAATGTTTGTCAGATGATTCACTAGGAGGTGTGATCATACTTCGCTTCGGGGGGATGATGTTGGGGAAAGGTTGGAAATTACGAGGAGAGGAAGGTTGGGATGTGTCAACTCATGATATCCCCAAAGATGGCAACGCTTTAGAAACATCTTTCGCACGTACAGAGATTTGGGGAACGGATGTCTATACTGACGATTCCGACCCCGCTCTGTTGCTTGTTCATGCTGGTTGGTTGAGATGGAAATTAAGCGGCGTAGGAGATGAAGGGGGGGACAAAAGGAACGGGGATGTGGTTAATGTAACTGTTCGGATAGTTCCCCGTTTGGTGAGATATACCGGGGTGAAAAGAAATGGAATTCAGAGTCGGAATTGGGGAAATGGGCATGATGGTTATTCGGTAGTTGTAGAAGCTGTGGAGAGGGTCAAGGTGGGTCATTCCTCCGATGTTCTCTCTCTTAACACTGGCTTGATCACTTCTCTTTTGCTTTCCTTTGCTTCTTTTCACGAGTAAAACACTGCTTCCCCTCCCTCTACAGCTCGTGGATATGGGTAAGAATCACTATCGATCGCAGTGCAGTGCGTTGGAGACATACGAGGGATATGGTAATTTTGGATAATGTAGATGCGATAGAAAACAGAAACTGACGAACAGGTGGGACCTAGTCTACTGGAAGGCAAGAAGAACCGTAAACTCCGGCTGGCCGAGTTTGCTAGAGAACGGGCCTTGTTATATCCTCAACAGCCATTGAAGGTGAACGAGAATGTCTTGAATCGTCCTATCTCACCGGACGAGGGAACTTGGAAAATTGACGAGATCAAGGATGGCGAAGAAGACAAAAATGTATCTTTGGTCTTCGGTCCATTGGGTATCGGGTGAGTTTAGTCATCCGTCCCATTCTTGGACCGTATATCTTCCTCGTCATATTTATATCGTCAGGCAAAGCTAAGTTCAGATTTGTCTATCGACCTTCAGCTTTGAAGGGATATTTGGATTATTATCAAGACCCGGAAGACGGTGAAACGTCTTTATGGACTCATGACCTTCTTCTTTGGTCCGAAAAAGATGGGTCAGTAATCCTCTCACTTCTTTACATGGATGAAAGTATCTACCTATTCACATCACATCCTCACCCTAGTATTGTTCTATCTTCAGAAACATCATTCGGAGTCTTGTAAGGTATGATGCGGACGGGATCTGACAAACAGATATCGACTTCAATTAATCCCTTCTTCCACTCTTTCCTCCCCTCGATTGAATATCATACATACGCCCCGTAATTCAGGTTCGATAACTATAGGTACAGAACTAGCACCTACAGAATTTCATTGGCTCCCCGAAGGATTAGCAGTTCGTCTAGATGGGTCAAAAGGAAAGTTGGTGATTGTGGAAAGTTATAATTGGGTGAAGAGGGAAATGGAGGGACAAGGAAAATTACCTTTTGCTTTGGAGATCGCTCCTGTCGTCACTCCTGCTCTTACACCGACGATTGATTCTGCCCCTGTATCGATGGAACAAGTTCCTTCTGTTCCTATGGTCGTTTCTGGTTGATTTGCGGAGAAGTTGGTGGATACGTCGATGTGGATGCACACGATCGACGACGGGGAAATCAATGGAGAAATAAGTGAACAGTTTGATGTTCCGGCAACACGAACGACGACGAAGGGGTAGATCCGACGATACGGGTTAAACAAATTCTTCATGAATCACCGGTCCGTACGGGTATGTCGAATGCTTAGAAACGTCATGCGATGCAGTGCTCATTCGAATTTCGTCTTCTCCCCATGAAATCGTGAAAAACAGAATATCGTTTGCGTCATCCTCGTCATCCCCGTAACCCGATTCGAGTGGAGGTAGGGATGAATGGATCGACTATAGCTGTGCAAGTACTGAGAAGGACATGTTTTGATCCTAAGACTTCAATTTGAGACCCAATTTTCTCTTAATACAAGTTATATACCTTGACTTCTTTCAACCTTTACCCTTAAACATCCTCTCGGCAAAATGGATATGACAAGCCCTGACACTACCAATGGAGTTCTCGACAGCCATGATGATTCCACCAAGAGCAATGGATCGTGCGAGGAGGCAATGAAACATATGTACCAAGGGCTGAAGTCTGCAGTCGACGTAATTTGTAAAGCCCTAGACGATGTTCAAAATCATTCCATCCGCGATGTCGCAAACTCACGATGGCGACAGCTTCAAAAAGACCGACTTGAAAATCCTCGTTCTGTTCTACCTGCGTATACTGAGGCCATGACTCAACTTCATACACCAGTGGCCACTCCCGTCACTTCGGATCTACGAGAGCAAGATGTCAGGGATACTTCTTCCTTAGATCATACTGATGAAGCACAACAAAATCTTGCAGCGCCTTCGAGTAGTCAACAAGACATGCAAACTCAGTCTGACAAGCAACATATCACTGGAAGTTTAAAGAATGCAATTATCAGGCAGCATTACCAACTTGAAGCTTCAAAAGATCAGTTGGCTTTGATGGTGAGCGCTATGAACAGTGTTTCTTGTATATTGTCAGAAGCTATCGCATGTTACAACAAGAGAAATGACATGTCTGAAGCTGGAATGGCTCATGAGGGCTGCTAGCTGCTGATTTGTAGAGATGGGAGAGACGAGATTGTTCGATTAGCATGTTGATATGATTTAGCTTTTTTTTTTTTGATCGGGCAAAAAGAGGTGGTAGAGCTGGGCAAGTTACATGGATAAGTGTACCTGGTGAGAATGTGACAGAAGTGGGGACTATGAGTACTGTGAATGGTTTGGATCAGTGACCATGCACTACGAGTAGGAGTAGTAGTGATAGTCACCTAGCTCGTTCCATTGCTGTCTCTGTCGGCGAATACTCGGTGAGGTCAGTGTCGATGCTCTTGGTGTTCCTGTCCTCTGGTCAAATGGTCGCCATGTCCTGTCATCAGAACCACTTGTCAGAACAGAAGGATAGGCCAAAGAAGCTTGCAGCCTTTGGTCGCGGTGGGGGGAGATGTCGAGCGAACTCGATGACTTTTACCCTTCAGTCATCATTGGTCAAGCAGCGTATGCAAGTAGGCCTTGCCATATCAGTGTGTCCGATCGGATAGAATAGGTATAGAACATATAGTTGAAGGAAGGATCAAGGTTGATAAGGAAAGAAGAAGGTTGCCAAGAAGGAAGGGATCGATGACGTCGTCGCCATGTCAACCATCACTACTAACTTACTGAATTTCTCTTCCTTCTCATCATCCTCATCATCTTCATCTATCACATTAATACTTCATCGCTATCACAATCAACTATCTTTGCAGTTCAATCAGTCCAGGTCAGTACCCAGCAGCTCGAGCTGCCTGTCTTTCACCATACTTTATCTCCCCGCCTTCCGACTCGCCACCCGTTGCACCTTTCCACCGATCCTCTTCACAGTTCGTACCATGTCTTCCATCGCTCCTTCCGTCGCTGGAGAGTATACTTCTTTTGCCCCGGTCGAACTGAGCCAGCTCACTTCTCTGTCCAAGGATGCAAGGGATAAGACTCTGGTCATCCGGAAAGTGACAGAAGATATCGTCACCTTCAGTGTGCCATTTGTAAGTCCATCTCAATCCTCCCTTCACTATCACACATCGGATCCCCCAGGGAGTCCCAAGAGCCTCTACACACGGTACGGAAGATGTTTTGAGTCATAGCCCCCGGCTGATGTTCAGAGCAGAGCGGGTCTCTTCGCCATTGGTGGCAGATCCACAGCCATTCGACTTCCCTCATCTGACATTTTCATTTACGTCTCTCATCCTCATACTTCTGCGACTCAAGAAGCCCTCAAGAAGCTAAGAGGCGAAGTGAAATACCTCGTAACTCCTGATGGAGAACATGGTATGTACATCGCCGATTATGTCAAAGCGTATCCTGCTGCCAAGTGAGTCTTTTCCTCACCTACCTACACTTCCACTCGAACCTTCTCGAATCACTCAGATCTCTAGCCAATGTGAGATCTTGGATCGCATTGAGATTGGAAGATTGCTCGATGGACGAGTCTCAGACATTGAGATGGATGATGAACACGAGACTTGTTGGACCACCGCTGACGATCAGACCGATCGGCGTGTTGAGACACAAGACTCAGAAGCCTAACATCCCATGGGCCGGTTTGTTTGGGGATGGAGGCGAGAATCAAAAGTATGGATTTGAGCCAGACGTGAGTATTCCGTCGCTTGAAATGCCTCACCCCTCTTCATCAGCGACTCGTCACCTCTCGGCCCTTTCGCCTTCGAGGGACGAATGCAGTCTCCACAAATGTCCGATCTTTGACCGTCCTCTGTCCTGTCATATGATCTCTCGACAATGATAGCATCGCTGAATATACCCAGATCACTCTCCATCAATGCTCCTCTCATGCAAATCACGAGCTCATGGCCATCCATCATCCCTCTGGTACTTTGCTCGAGGCCGACATGCTGTTCAACCTTCCCCCGAAGGAACAGTATTCTCGTGCGGGAGGTACACCATTTGGATCACGTTTGTTTGGTGGAGCAATGAGTCCAGGAGGAAAGGTACATAGTACCATGGTCAGTGGAGTGATGAAGGATAAGGCGTAGGTGCTTTCGTCCCCCCCCAATTCTGTTTTGTTGCCCCCTTCCCCTTCAGACTGTTCCCGATCCCGATATCACCCTCCCGATGGGCCTTATTTGAACAAATTTGAAGTGGAAATAAACCATGAAGTGATCCGACAACACAGAAACAATAATCTAACGACCAGTCTCTTGAAAAAGGAGTTGGCACCTATCAACAATGCAAAGTGGGATAGACTCATCCCCTGCCACGGGGACGTGATCGAGACTGGAGGGAAGGTAGCATGGGACAAGGTGTATAGACAGTATCTCTGACCAGTGAGTATCGATTGTTGTATTTCCACTGTTTTCATGAAGGTGTGTCAAGTTTTGAACTCCTGCTCACTGCTTGCTGACTCGAAACTCGGGCATCTGGGCGATCGAAATGCAGCAGTGCTTTGTCAACAGATTCATCCTTTTATCGACGGTTCACTGGCCGACACATTGCTGTGTCTCAGCGTATGAGGACCAGACTCAACTCGACATCGGTCACTCGGCCAAGAAATGCTACGAAGACTTCTCCGCTCGTCCTCCTTTGCTGTTACACCTATGTAGCCAACTGGGTCTGGGCCGATCGCAAACCCGCGGAGTACTCGAACGTTCCCTCCGTGCGAGTCTCTTTTGCCATCAATCGCGATCAATCATCACATCGACTCATCAGCGAGTATATCAAAGCTTTCCGCAGGTTGTCTAGCTAGCGAAACGCTCATTCAAACCAGCATGGGCCGTTCGAGCTCGCACAACAGTAGTATGGCTGCCAGAGATCGCGTTACCCGTCAGACAACCCCTCCATCTAAGCCCACAGCGGCTCCACCGGTGCAGGGCTCATCAGCAGTACCTGCCCCTCTCCCTACGGATTTGGAGGCATCCGGGAGGTCTGCTAGGCGTTCTGTTCTTCTGAATTACATCGGGGCGGCTTTGCAATCTATCCAGGGTATACCAGACGAGCAAACGCCCACCCGACCAACTGGCACGACTAACACCCCGAGACCCGAATCCGACGAGAGCAAAGTGGAAATGCAGAACTTCGTCAAGACTGAGCAGCACATGTCTGCTGACCAAATCTTCAGACTTCTCCTCGTCAAACGACCGGGGACCGCAGTAGAGATATACGAGGCGTTTCGAGAGGCGAAGCGGTTCAGTCGAATGGAGACTCTCATCGCTTTGAAGTCAGCGTCTGGTGTGACGGCCGTGGACTTTCTGGGGGCTATGCTCAGTGACGCTCGTCAAACCAAACACGACATTCAGGCTTACCTGCGCGGCGAGCATGCGAATGCTCGTAAAGCTCTCGACGAAACCGAATTATTAATGCAAAGCAGCGTAGCGCAAGACATTGAGTGTAGCGGATGGGCAGCGATCATTGAGATGGAGGACGCCCTCTGGTCAGACATCACTTTTGGCGACGGAAAGTCTTCATCTCGTTATTTATGGTCGGTGTACGATGAAGTAATCAGGACACTGGAATATCATCACGGGAGAGGTGAGCAGTTGTACAAGTTCATACTCCCTTTCAGGTTACGTCCCCATTCGTCAAATCCTTCCATAGTTGATAGGCTGTATGGGTGATTGACTCTGTGGGACCTCAACACGGTCCTGTGATATGATAAGCTAACAATGTTTAGAGAAGGCGTTCGAAAAACTTACTAACTCTGCGAAAACGCGCCAGGCAGGGAAGAAACCATGCACATACCAAAGGCAGGAGCCTTCCAGCCCAACTTCACCAACACAAAAACTCAATAGTAGAAGTTGGAAAAGCGTCACTCCATATAGCCCGACGTCCTTCTCACCCGCTGGGATGTGGCAACGGAAGAGCTCGATGAGGGGCTACCCGGACGATCGTGGTGAAGGGCCGAGCAACTGGACATCGAACCGAAGGTAACGCAGATAGAAAGCGAGTGGAACATACTGATAGGCCACTGACACAGCTGCGTATCGTCTTGGAATGAACGGTCGGGGGAAAATTGTGCTTCGTATTTTCGCTATGGTCATCTGGGTGTCAGAAGGAAATGATGGAGCGTGGTCCTATGAGAGTAGTGCAAGAAGAGGATGGGAGATGAGAGTAAAGGCGTAAATTCATCCATACCCGTATGTAACAGTACAGTACATCAAATATCGCTGATGAATGACATACGACTTAGACTTCGTACCAATTATCAGAAAAATCTTATCTTTTTCATAAACTACTTACTGTATTCCGTAAAAGAGGAAGTATCAATACTACTTTATGTTCAGATTCGTCGTTAAGTAAATTCCCATCATTTTCTTTGTCCCTGTTCGTCGTCAAGGTTTCCTTCTATTCCTGTTCCTGTTCCTTCGCTACGCCACCATCATCTCCCGTAACTCCATCTCCATCTCCCATCCCCGTTCTTGGTATCTAAGATCCATCCCATACCCTGGCAACATACAAACGACCATGAAGTCTTTCACTCTTTCACTCCTTCACTACTTCTCAATCCTCATCCTCTCACCTTTTCGTTCTTGTTCTTTCTCCTCTCAGCGTCCGGAACGCAAAATCTCATCTTCATCTTCGTACTTTTTCAGGCAGGACCATTCTACTTCAGGCCTGGTGCCTATTTCACCCTTCTATCAATTCATAACGGACCATCGAACCAAATTTTCAAAACAATAAAAGGCAGACACAAGAGAAGAGGGGGATAACCAGTGAAACTCGAAGAATAAATCAAAGATAAGAGAAGAGATTCGAGTGAAATAACAAGATGAAAAGACTTTTAGGAGTATGGGGTTTTCTCGTAGTTTGTCTTTTAGCTGCTGGTTCAGTATCTATCGTATTTGCTATCATGTTCCAAAGACCTGGACAATTGATAATGAATTTGATCGTTTCTAAGATGGATGGGAATAGTGAGTAACTCTTTGTTTCTTTCATTGACCTGTCATTCCTACACATTCTCAAAATCCAAATATATTTTTCGAGTCTTCACCATTCCAAATGATTTGAGATTAGACCTATTGCGATATCCCAAGGAATAGTTTGAGGTATGGGGAGAGGATATAGGGAATTTATGAGAGGTGAATCCAGAAGCAACAGATGGGTGGAAAGATCTATTGAAAAGGTTCTTTGGAATGTTGTTGGAAGCTGGAAGTTGATTGTGGAGACAGAAAGTTGGGAACTGGATCAAATAAGAAAGTTTGAGAGATGTGAAGATGAGAGAAGAAAGATGGTAACTGACAAAATAGTCGGGATAGCTTTAGGTATCACATATCTCCTCACTGTCCTTTTAGCCATTCCTGCTATTCTACAACCACCTGCTAATCGTACTTTATTGAAAGTGTTGAATTGGTGGTTGGTAGGATTAGCCATAGAAACTGTCATCGTGAGTATTCATTCTACATTTCTGTACGAGTATTCCCAAAAATTGGTATCCCGGATGAAACGAATGTCACAAATTTCCTCCCGGATGGCCGTACCTAAACTGCTTAAAGTGGTGCGCAGAGAGAAGGGAGAATAGTAGATGATCACTGTTGACACCTTCAGTTGGGCAGTATAGTCTGGTTCTTTTCTCTTCGTCAACGATCTGAATTTTCCGTGATATGGGATCAACAATCAGCTACTATTCAACAAGCTTTACAGGATACTTTTAGTTGTTGTGGTTATTGGTATGTCATATTCTCCTTATCTACTCGTTGACATCTTGATCTCTCCTACATACCTTCTCCTGTATTCCCTTCCGTCTGTGAATTCTCGTCACTCGTTCTTACTTGTCCGGAGATCTCTTGAATCGGAATAGGACATCGTGTCGCTTTTCTGCCATGTTGACTACTGGTACAATATATTCGTGTCAACGGCTGATGATGTTAGGAATGGAACTGCCTCTGGTCAATTTACCGTCCAACAAGGTTTCTGTGCCGATGCGACGTTTGCTGCTAATCAAACTGGTTGTGTTACACCTAGTGAGTCTCCCCTCTCCTCTCTTCTGTGACCTACCCACACCCAGTCAGTTTCCTTACATCCTTCCTTCAAGCATCATGACACGCAATATCAGTAATGATCAATCTTGCCAGTGTCAAGTTGAGAAAAGATAATAGAGGTAGACGAGCTCACATTTAGTCACCGCTTCCACAGCTCCTGGTTCAGACTTTACATTGAACAACATCTTCACTTCGATCTACGGGTTCGAAGCTATCATTGTGGCGTTGTTCATGGCTACTTCTTGTGTCATCAATGAGGTAAGTGTGACTGCCTTCTGTTCGCGTCCCCACTTGTGACCAGCTTGATGTCTGTCTCATCCCAGAACTTGAGAGAAACAGAAGGCATGATGTTTGTCCCGAACGTTGCTGTTCAAAGGGGTGTGCAGCAGTAGTGCGACTAGCAGTGAGCTGACAGACAGCGTCAAGTCCAAGTCCGTTTCGAACGTATCGATGCCAAACGCGGTGGTGGCGGATTTGTGTGATTTCAGTCGTTGAACATCAAATAAAGATGATATGACAATGAATGCAGATGATACTACTACAACCTTATTCATTAGCTGTATGAAAATTTCGCGGTTCGATTGACTTACAAATTTGCTAGATGTAGCCTCGATGAGTACACGATCCATCATGAGTCATTCGATATACTGAACGTTGAACTTGTTACAGAAACCTCACACCTTCTCCTGTCTCTCCCTCGCCTCGAAGCAGTTGCGCCTTGCCTTTCCGTACTAGAGTGTCGAGTGCTCGGCGTAACATGGGAAGTGGGAGTTGGTAAAATTCTCGTTGGTCAGTCTTTGCTTTGCAACCACGATCGTACAAGCTAGGTCGCCAATTGAAGAGTCGGAGATCAGTGGATATCGTACTGAAGTGAGAGGATCATTGGTGAGGGGAAGCAATCATGTATACAAAGAAAGTATGAAGGAAAAGAGGACTGACCGGTGGTATGTGCCAAATCCCCATCGGTGAGTTCGTACCATGTCAAGATGGTGTTGTTCATTCCATTCTCTATGATCTGACCCATTAACATTTATCCTCTTCACAAAAAGGTAGAAACAACTGATCCATCATTTCAAGTACAGCATGAATGGTTTGTCAAAACAGTGCAGAGTCACGACAAATTGGGAAGGGTGGAGGGGGAAGAGATGGAGTAGAGGAGATGGAGTAGAGGAGATGGAGTAGAGGAGATGGAGTAGAGGAGATGGAGTAGAAGAGAATCGAGAGAGAGCCAACTTACCCAGTCATATATGATCCCACCCCATTCATCCGGTTTTCTCCAATAGAGTAAATAAACACTAGTCTGTTTCGGAGGATCTGGAGCAGCTTGATTACGTTCTGTCATATGTATCATGAGTGTTTTCAACGATGTTGTTTGTAGACGACCTCAAAAATCAGCTTATCACTCAGCTAGCTCATCCCTTGATTTGTGAGATCTCAGGACTACGATAGGGTATTGAAGAAGCTCGACTCATGATGATTTGATTTGTATTTGTATTTGTATTTGCATTTGTATGATCATTCAAGTATATATCATAAGAAGAATCATGGGACAAGAGTAATCAAATGAAAGAAGTTTTTTGGAAAAAAAAACTCACGATCGATATCTTTATTGATAAACACTTCCCCAGGATCTATCACCTCTACGTTTATCATGAAAACCTTACGAAACCTAGCCCAAGAAAGTACGAGTGAAGACCATAAATCTAATTGATGAGAACGTGTCGAAAGGTTTGGTTGAAGACTTGATTTAATCAGTTTTTGTCATCTAAAAGCTTTGATACATGATGAAAATTACTCTGATGTCTACCCAGTTCCTCGAGTCAGATTGAAGGGGGAAGCGGGATGTCCTCGTGGAGAAAAGAACAAAAATCACGGTAGAGATCTGACTAGTCATACAGCGAGTGAGATACAACGAGAAGAGTACTTCCGGCCATCTCAAATGAAGCTCAGATCCTTCCCATAAATCTAGGAGGTGATGCAGGAAGGAAAATGACGATACCGAGAAGAGTAGCTGAAACAAGATAGTAGTTGGGATTCAAGGTCATTCATTGAAGGTAAATATGAAAGAAAGGATAGTACGAAAAAGACAAGGGTAGAAGATGATGATAAGTTTTGACTTACGTGAAAAAAGGTGGAAAGTTCCAAATGGGCGGAAAGATGAATCCATCTTTTTCTATCGATTTCAATGATGTAGGTATAATTCCTCCTTGTTGAGTCTTTCTCGTTGAAGAAGACGCCCCTGGTATAGTCGTTTCTCCCATGTTGACTCTTGTGTTACCTTACGTTCTTCCGAGGAGCAGATTGAGTACTGTGAATGATAAGACGATGTAAAGAGAGGAGGGATAGGGAAGTGAGCCACTTGGTTTCAAACATTCCCGATCGCCACGGCAAAAGGCAGACTAGACACAACGTACAACTATCATTTACAGAGGATATGAAACGAAAGTTGCAAGAATTGTTCATATGACAATGAGAGAAGATACGTAGACAAGATGCATAAATACCAGACGACAAAAGGGTCTATTTTATACATATATTTCTTTCTACCCTCCTCTCCTTTCCATCTTAATACCAAAGTCGCGCGCCTCACACCTCACATTCCCCCTTCCTATCCCTCGGCGAAAGTAAGAAATTCAAAGTCGCAATAACCCTTCTTCCCATTGGCCTTTGACAGCGAAGAACCCCCATGCGCCCACGTAAATCACCCCTCCATCCCTATACCAGGTCTAGGACTGACAGGTAATCCTGCAGTCCCCATCCCCATTCCCATCCCAATCCCCGAATTCGTCCTTCCACCAGGATCCAAAGTCAGACCCCTAGCTGCAGCTTTAGCTTTTCTGACAGCTGCCGCTGATGGATATTCCGGTCTTGGTGTACTGGGTGTCGGACTTGATAACCCATTGATATTTTCCGAAACTTCTTGTCTCTGTCTATTCGTATTATCGGGAAACTCTTGTCTCTGTCGATTTCTATCGGGGACATCTTTATATCGATCATTTTGTTTTATTGACCTATCCATGTCGGACCTATAAGATCTACTGGATTCACCTGATATATCGGAGTGGACCGATCGATTGGAATGAGCTGATTGTCCAGATTGCATAGAAACGAGTGAAGGGATTGATAATGCTTCAGAATTCGTTTCGTCCGATTCGGAGTCTTCATCCAGGGCTAGGAGTCAGTCCCGGTCGATATCATAAATTCCACAGCAGGATGATATCGCAATAATTTCCGAAATCATTACGATGGCCCGTGAGAGATGATCATTTCTGAGGGAAAACAAAATGGATGGAATGTTGAGAGGGGAATGAGCCCAGAGGGCGAGTGGGGCGGACAGAAGGCAGGTGAGATGGGGATGGAGAGAAGAGAGGTAGGGAGATAGGGAGAGCTTGAATCACTCACCTGGATCTAAATTTCTACCCTGCAATCCCAACAACCGATCCGCTCCCGAAGCTTGATATAACAAACTATTCCTATTCCTCTTTATCGTCCCTTCTTCTCCCTCTTCATTACCTTGTACATCTCTATACCCTAATTCTTCCTTACCTTCTTTTCCCCCATTCCCATTCCCACCACCAGCACTACCTCCAAATCCTCCAGCATCAGCTACCAACCCACCTTCATTGTCGTCCAACCCCTCCCCCTCCATAGGCTCATCATCGAAAATCTGTCCGAAATGACAAACCAACTCTGAGAAAATCCCTGCCGGTATACCCAAAGTGGGTGAAAAAACAATCCCAATATTCCTCAAAGTCATCTTATTCTTCATAGAATTCCCCACTATCAAAATCAAATGTGCCGTCAAAGCTCTTAATAAAATATAATTCGATGATGGTAAATCCGTTACTAATCTTCTTAATTCCATTACTCTTGAATTCGAATCAATCAAATCCATTACTGATAAAAATCTACTATGTAATTCTCTCGTTAAAACAGATTGAGGTAATTCTCTTAAATAAGTTTTAAGTAATCCGGCAATAGCGTGTGGATCCCAATTTTCATCTTGTTGAACAAGGTTTAAATCACCTTCAATATCAAATTTTTCTTTTAAACCTTTTATGACCGCTGATGAACCTGATAAACGATAAATACCTTCTTCATCTTGTGCTGATTTGATTTCTAGCCATTCTATACATCTGAAAACGATAGCAGGTAAACCTGCTACCGAAGCGACGGAAATGGAATCTGATAATGGGACTGAAAATACAGGTCTGAATGGTTTTTCTGGTGTTTTACCAAAAGATTGCCAAAAACGTCCAGATTTAGCTTTACGATCTCTTTCTTTTTCTTGTGGTGGAGGTAAACCACTAGCTGATAAACTGTTAAGGTATGAAGCTGTGTATGGTTGTTTGATTGGCATGACACTTTGTCTCTTTTGGTTTCGAGGAGTAGGTGTTTGCGTTTGTGTTTGGGTGATAGGTTCAACAGAAGAGATTGAAGAGTTATCAGGATATTGAGATGAAGCTTGTGATTGTGAAGGTTGGAGAGGTTCAGAAGAATATGATGGAAGAGAAGTAGGAGAACCAGAAGAAACGGATCGATTTGACATTCCAGGTGGTTGAGGAGCTTGAAGAGATTTTTGAGATTCCATACTGTTGAATAAACTAGGAGAAGGAACGTTGGAAAATTTAGAATCCGAACTGGTCATTGATGATATCGGTTGTGCGGCAGTGACGACGACATCTTTGGATTGTTTCTTGATAGAAACGCTACGTCGACGGGGTGGGAGTTGAGTAGAAGACATTGCGGCCGATAGTTGTTGAGAAGGTGCTGGTGGTGGTACAGGATCAACTTGTCGAACAAGGAAATCTATCCATGAATCACGTTCGATATCACTCTCAGCGCATAACACATGTCGTTGGGTATTCCCTTTCTTGCCCATTTCAATGATTAAGAAGGCATGTCGGAAATCGCGGTCGTCTGTGGAATCCGAGGGTCGGTTTTGACGTCCTATTTGAGCGTTGGTGATGATGATACTTCCCAGATGAGGTCCACCACGCTGGACGTCAGCACGATTCTTTGACTCAAAGCCTGTCAATGTCCATTCTATCCGTGGAGCGTGAGTTATCACGAACTTGACATCTGAATTGGGGGTGGTGTGGGCACCAAAAGTCAAGTATCATATCATGTTTGGTGAGTGTTAAAATGGTGATTAGGTGTGATGGTGGAGCAGGATATAGATTCTAAGGAAACAATTGACTGTTGGATCCTTATTTGCATAGAACAAGAGACACGGGGAATGGGGAAGGTGAAAGGGGGGAAGAATTACTGACCGCTTCGTAATATTCCATTACCGGTCCATCCAAGACGAAATACCTAGTTTTCCAACCTCCAAAGTTCTTCCCCTTCTTTGTCAAATAACCCTCTTTCCGTTCCACATTCAACCTCTCCTGTACCGGATCTGTACACAGAAACTCGCACAGATCAGACTTATCACTCAACGGAGCCACCAACAAACTCTGTAAATAAGCCTCCAAAGCCGCTTTACGTTGATCGATTTTACTCGGAGCGAAATCCTTCCAAGCTTTCCCATCTGGAAGTGGAGCTACCATATTTTTCCATTCTTTTCTCCCTTTCTTATTCTTAGACCTTACTTTCTGGTCCAAGTCTATGAAAGCGGAGAAGAGTTTAGCAACGGACCACATGACAGGTTGAGCGTTTGGAGGACGGAGTGAGATGGAAACTACGAAACAGAGGACGTCTCTACCTAGTTGATTAGGGAAGATGTTGGAGGTAGGTATAGATATCCGAGCATGTGGAAGAAGAGAGAGTGTTAATCTAGGTAATGGTGCTGGACGTTGAGTTTCAATAGAAGCCAAACTATTTTCTCTATCTTTTCTTTCTTTTGTATCTTCATAATCGACATTACTACCTTTATCATCTTCATATTCAACACGAGTATATTCCGATCGTTGATCATCAGAGGGAACGAAAGAAGGACGAGGGGTTGACATAGCCGAAGTTTCGTATGATTGTCTAGGTGAATTAATTTCATTTGTCTGGGTTTGTGAGAATGATGGTGATTTGGGATGAGGTTGTGGTTCGGGAAAAACGACGGGATGTGTTGGTGGTGTTAGTGATCTGACACTAGACGTTCGAGGTGGAAGTTCCAATGTTGGAGTTTGTAACATTTGAATAGACATTTGATTGAATCTACTCGGTTCTGTTGAACGAATATCATTCTCGTATTCTTCATTCACTTCGGCAGTACTGGCAAGTGTGGAGAGTGTCATAGAGCTCGGAGCTGTCATATCGCTCGTCATGGAAACGCTTGGAGATGTAGAGTATTGAGAAGGAGGGCTCAAATTGAGATTGCTCGAACTTGAGGGGATACTGTTTTGACTATGACTTTCACCGAAAGTGATGATAGTTTGATCTTGACTTTCACTAGCAGGGATGGCGTTTCGACTTGGATTCTGAGGAGGGATGGTATGCGTCGCTTCTTGTGGTGAATCGGCGAGCGACATGAATGAAGTCACTTCCGGTGGAAATACCATCCTACTTTCACGTCTTATTTCTTCCAACATAGGTGAAGGGAGTAACGTCGGAGTCTTCATATTTTCTCCTAAGAAGGTGGACGATGCTGCCGTGGAAGATCTGTCGGCGGATTTTGTGAGCGATACAGGTGCGTGGTCGCCATTGCTGGAGGTTGAAGATACAATTGATGATTCCCTCCCTTCCATCGATCTCGAAGACATGTAAGGCGGTTCGTGGGCCTCGACTGATTTTGGAGATACAAAAGGTCTTTCGTCCACGTGAAGCGATGCTGAGGGTCCCGCTCCGGAAGCACTGCGAGGTGGAGGGACTCCTCGTGCACCTGTATCATCTCGATCGGAATTATGTCGTCGTATCTGAGGTGGAGTAGGAGGTTCGGTTCGTATTCCTAATCCAAAAGCAGAAGAGCTGCTTGCACTGCTGGACATTTTCTTGATTGGAGCTTCTAGTCCTAGGGAAGCTAGTCTGGATACTGCTTTATCTCTCTCAGTTCGGAGACGTTCACAATCTGCCATGAGACCAGAAGTCTGGGTACGTTGTTTTTCGATCAGCTTCCAGAGTTGAGTGTTTTGTGCTTGCTGAGGATCAGCCAATACTTTTCATCTTCTCCGAATACCTCTGACCGTGAATCGATCGCTCCTTAGCAAAGGGTTGAATCCTTCAACGGTGTGAAAGAGGTAGAAGGAATTACATGGGATGATGAGGAAGATAATCACTTTGGGGAATGCAAGTGATGGAACGAAATAAGATGAGATGGAACGAATGCCAGTGGGGTTTTGGAGAGACGTGTAAAAACAGAAAAGAACAACGTACCAAACTGGTCTTCTCCGCAAATAAACTTTCCAAAGCCTTCCTCATGTCTCCATTATACGACTTCAACACTCCATCCAGATCCATACCTACCGTCGTCCCGCTCCTGGGGCTCCCACTGCGTAGCACATTTCCAGGCTGTTGCGGCGAGGCTTGAGGTGAGGCAGGATGACGTGGTCTGGATGTTTGTTGGTGCGTTGAAGGTGAGGCTAGGTGAGAAAGGATGGGTGAGGCTGTAGCTGTGGACATGTTTGGTGATGAGATTTCGTTTTCAATTCACCCCTCTGGTCGTATGATCAACTTCCAACAACTGCTCTACTCTCGAGGTTTGAGGTCTCAAAAGAGAAGACGGAGTGAGCTCTAGAGATCGAGGAATGCAAAGGAATGCTGGGAAAGAAAGAGGTGGATCCTAAGTTCCCGTCGTGTGATCAAAGGGTTCTCGGTTCTCCTCTGTTCTACGTTCAACCTCTTTCCACCGTCTGAGTAGAAGTGGGATTTGACCAGTGACCAGAGATCAATGGGCAGATGATGGTGGATGTACTAGACCGAGGTTTAGCTTGCGTGACGACGTTTCGGACTACCTTAGAGTATGAGCTCAGCCACGCGTTGGGAAGACGACCATCAAGACATGCATAGAGCCGGGAGGAAACAGGTGAAAGGGACCATTGCTCACTTACCCCGTATAAAGGAGTCTGCTTGAGTCGTTAGGTGGTATCATCCAAAGTTGAAAGATTGTGGGAATATGAGACAAGTGTGGAATGTGAGATGATCAAGGAATGGAGAAGGGGGGTATCTACAAAGAGTAACCAAGTTGAAAGAGGTGAGTAGAGCGGGGGTTGTATGATGAGTCGTGATAGTTTGATGGCAGGTCGACGCGTGGGGGGAAAGGGGCGGAATCAATTTAATTCTCCCCCACATGTGAGGAGCAGAGAGATGAAGAAGTAATAGTGTGGCATAGCGTTGAGCTTTTGCTTGACGCCCTCTACTGAGAAGCACCCAAGGATCACGAATCAAAAGACAAGAGACTTGCTTGGGACCGAGTAATAAGTGGGTGGTGTGGCTTGACATCTCAGACACGGCCGGAGAAAGTCAAGGAGGGATTTGATGTGGCCAAGCACATAGCAGGCATGATGATATTGAAAGGATGCATAAGGATGTCACTGATCACTGTTGCCATCAGTGATATGAGACGTTGATACCGCGTACCGGAGATTGTAAGCAGAGAACAAGAGGATAGGCAGGGGACATTCCAACCCGAGTTGGGGCGATCACTTCGCTTACAATACAAGTCTTTGCCCCATGCCCCATCCCGCCCAACGGTGAAACGCTTCTGTCTCAAATTGATATAAACATGGATGGGACGTGTATCATGTTTGATCACCTGTGGTGGGATCTTGAATGTGTCGGGTGGGTTGGATCAGACAAGGATGTGCATGGTGAGCATGACGTGCAAGGTAAGCACTAAGCACCTAGCAGGGGTTGTATGTACGTGATATGGCTGTAGATTGCATGTCATTCTTCGGTGATATCTAAGCTATCTCTACGTGGCAGTCCGACACGGGACCCGAGTGCCACGACGAAAGGAGGAAAGGGGAAAGGGGAAAACTGACTGTTGGGGGAACCTAATCGATAATGATAAGACGTGACATCGGCTCGGCTTCCGCGCGATGATAAAATAGCGTTCAGGGTCAATTTCCTTGTCCCAAACGGGCACGGGCCATCCAATCGTCGTAGCGAAAAAGGTAGAAACACCGAGCAACTCTTCAACTAGTTACCTACTCTTACTCTCTCCCTCCTCTCATTACATCTTGTCATCATTCCTCTTTCTCATCATCATATCATATATCACTCCACTCGACCCAACTACGAAGGCTCTCCCTACACTCGTCTGATAGCTCTATCACCTCTACACCCCATACTGAAAATTACCATCGTAATCAAAAGAGAAAGACGTAGAAAGGAGACACGCCTCCGCCTCAGGGCTCTCTACTCTCTCCTTCCCTCCACCGGTTCATGTCCTCACCCCCGATAACGATCTCATCACTATCCCTCCTTTCAACAACTTTTTCGTCATTGCCTTCCAAGGTAGTCGCTCTCTTTCTCATCTCTCATTTTCACTTGTGGGGCCACGCTTGGTCGTAATCGTCCCAAGACACCCTTACCAACCTTCGGACCGTCTCGCCGTGGCCATCCACTCTCTTTCGCCCCTCCTTGGCATTATCTTAAAAGGGGGGAGAAAAAGAGTTTAAAATCAAATTTGTTATCTCACCATCAAATCGAAACTTCATCTCGTCATCCCCTTATCATCAACTCTCGCATACCCTTAGCCCTCACAATCATACAACATGTCACTCGAACGTCTATCAGAAACCGCCACGACATCAGCTCCTCTACCCCATCCACTCTCGCCACCACGTACGGCTCTCAAGCATCTTTCCTCTCTACCCATTCATCACAGACCTTCCCCCGTCCACTCCTTCGCCTCCCCCACTTATGCCTATCGACGCTTCTCCACATCTGACACACGCGGCGCGCCTGACGATGACGGTGGCGACAGACAGGACGAAACCTCCGACGTCGATAGGTTCAGATCAGAGGTCTATGGAAAACGTTGGGGTCTCACTCAGCCTGGAAATACCCCACAAAGACCTTTTCTTACAAATCAACAAGATGCGGATCATGCCATCGATGAAGAAGACTCACCCGAGCCCGAGAAGCCGTCCATCCCTGTCGATCCTCAAGCGATCGAACATGAAGTCGATGAACTGGAATCTCCCCGGAGCGGTAGCGGGATCAGCAGGGGCGAGAGCGAAAGGTCAGTCCTTAGCAGGACTGGCGTAGGTGCTGGGATAAACGGTGAGACCTCTGAATTCAAACCGAAGAAAAGAACTCGTCAATCGAAACCAAGGAGATCAAAGGATGAAGACGTCAACGGTGGTGCCCTTGGGGTATCCCCCTCGCCGAAGCGACGTAAGGGTGAGTTTAACATGAAAAAAGCCCCCATTCATATTCACATGTTTTGCATTTCATCGTCCCTCGTTTCGACCCTGGTGAAGGATCTTCGCATCGCTGACTCTTTTCAGCCCTGGCTGCAGCAGTCTCACAACCATCTCCTCTCCTTACACCTCCCCTGTCGACGATCGCATCTACCACGGATATGCCCGCGCCTGCCGATCACCCCACCCCGGGAACATGCCCCGGCGATGGTCGATGTAACGGTGCAGGTGGCAAGGCCGGATGCGAAGGTTGTCCCACGTATAATAACAGTCTTATCGTCGGTAACGCTGTCGTCTCATCTTCACATCAAGGTCCTACAGAAGGTATCGAAAAAATGACTCATCGTCCTGACCGACCGCCTGATCGTATCTGGGGTCTCACTCCAGATACGGGACTTCCAATGTCTCATCGTACTTTATCCACAAACAGCGATCGTTTCGCCCTCTCGGCTGATGATGAAGGTTCTCCCGATGGTTCAGACAGAGAACAACCTGTCCCAGCACCCGCTGGAGGTCCTGCTCCTTCTGCTGGCGGCGGACTAGCAGCGACTCCAGTGGGTATGAGTTGTCGTAACTGCGGCACGAGCACCACACCTCTTTGGCGTAGAGACGAAGAAGGGAGGCCTCAGTGTAATGCATGTGGTGAGGTCGTTTACAACGAAACACCTTTGATCAATAGCTGATATATCAGGCCTTTATCATAAACTTCACGGCGTCCCACGTCCTGTCGCCATGAAGAAAACTGTCATCAAACGCCGAAAACGGGTACCGGCCGTTGGGGTCGCTGCAGGTCGAGGGGGATCCGCTCAACATGATCAGGTATCTCCCGCTCCACCCCTCGCACCGATGGCCGGCACCCCGCCCATTCATCCTTTCACAATGGACGAACAGAAGCCCCCTCAAGCTCCTTTCCCAGGCTCAGCGTCGCATCGGTCCGTCAATTCACACGACCCGTTGGCTTATCGTGGACCTCCGAAACAGGCTCTGCCGGGTATTCCAACTTCTGGAGAACGTCGACGGGCTTGGTGGTTGGAAGACAGGCGTGATCGCGACATTGGAGATAGGGAAGTGAAAGAACCTAATGATCGTGAAGGGGTGAGTGACTGATCCTACTCTTTCCCTTCTGAAGCTAGAATCTTCTTTCCCGATCCCCGGATGTCGCCAGAATCAATTTATGTCCTCCTTTGTGGACCACCCCGCTCAGCTCACCTTCCCCTACTCCTTCTCCTTTGATTATCTCTCCATTGTTTGTCATCGGTCAAGCTGTGTGAGCGGGGGGTGTTATACGCTTCTCATCTCGGGTTTCACTACGTCAGCCATTCGTGACACGTCTCGTCATTGTTCACTGCTTCGTTCTTCCTCTGGACCTGTGCACAAATTGTCATTCCCAGCTATGTTTGAAGATCTGTCTGCGCAAGATCCCTTGATGACGCAACATCGCCCCGAGATTTTTCCGCATAGAGACAGTATGCTGACGCGATCTCTATCTGTCCCCCGCTCGCTTCCCTCTCCGACGTCCACACCTGAAACAACATCCCCTCGCCCTTCTTCATCACGAACGGCTGTGTCAACGACTGCTCCTCGAATGTTACGTCGACTCACCGCCCCATTGCCTTCTCCTTCATTCCCTATTTCCTTGAATCGTATTTCATCTCCTGGCGTAATTGATCGACCCAAACAGCTCGCCCATCAACTCGCCGCCGAGACTCTACTCACCATGGCGCCTACGTCTGGACCAGAATCAGAAACCTCTCCACGACGTGCCGATGTTCCAGCACCTGCTGTAGGTAACGCAGCTTCGAATCGCGGTACTCCTGTGAATGATGACGCTTCCGACGAACCTCGTGGTGTGAAACGCAAGAGTGCAGAAGACGAAGGTCGTTTACCCAGCGCAGCGAGTCTTGGTCTTGTGGGATTGACCAACGAATCTAAAAGAGAAACGAACGAACGTGTATTTCCACATTCACCATTAGCCTCTAGCGATCTTCGTCCTCTTGCCAATCGACCAAACAATAACACTTCCATGTCAAACAACACACCTGGTGCGAATAGGTATTCCATGTATGGACCTACTTCTAGAGAATCACCCCTTACCACTCCATGGGGAGCATTAGGTCAATCACGTTATACACCCTTGGGAACTTCAGCAGCAAGACGCGAAGTTTCTCCACATGTTTCAAATCCTACCAGACCAGTGTCGCCACCCGCCAATCGCGATCGTTTCTATCCTGCAGCTGCTGCTGGAACTCTGGCAGGTTATGGACATTACAATATGGGTCGACGTGAATTAGCTGAACATCGTGAACAACTTCGAGAAGGGAAACGATGGTTGGAAGGTATGTTAACGAAAACGGATAAACTGTTACAAATGGTAGAAACGAAGATGGCTCTGACAGGGGAGATGGGAGGTAATCAACGTCAAGAAGAATTAGATTATGAAGAACGTGATAGAGCTCGTCTAAGAGAGATACATAGGTTAGAAGCAGAAAGAGAGAAAGATAGAGCGGAAAGGTTGAAGAGAGATAGAGAAAGGGATTTATTACAACCTGTTCCTAATCATTATGAGAGGGAAAGACCAAGGTTACCAGCACCACATGTTGGACAATCTACTACGCATAGTCCCAATATGACTCAAGCTCCAAACCCTTTATCAAATTCAACTCCTAATTCATCAAACCCTCATCCTAATCAAACTTCCAACGTTTCCAATTCAACCCCCAACTCCGCTTCAGTTTTGAATCCAGGATCGAATCAATCACAATCGCAGAATGGGGGAAGAGAAAAATCAGAAGCTGAAAGAAATCGTGATCTTCTATTAGCTTCAAGAAGAGTTACAGCCGTTTCACCTAATCCTCAACATACAAGGACACATTCACATACCCCACCACAACCTCCGACTCAGAAATCGAATTGGGATGGGGAACCTGTGATGGGAGGTACGGCTTTACCTCGACGAGATCAGGGAAGAGGATTAGGGAGGGGATTGTGGGGTTTTGACGTGAGGAGTTGAGTTAGGGATTCGACCTCTTTATTCTCTTGGTCCGACAATGACGATTGAATTGTCCAATCGACCTCAGCGACCAGACCTAAATATTACTCCCGCTCTTCCCACCACCGAGTTGTTTCCTTACTCATTGGCAACTCGGTCTCCAGTGACGTAAGTAGGGAACAGAAGGGAAGTGTCGAAGGCTTTAACTCTCCTCTCGGGACGGAATGGGACGATAGGGAGTTTTGTTATCTTGGACAAGTCGGAAAGGAATGAATACTTGACATGTGGTGGAAAAAGTATATCGAGTCATTGTTTGGACAAACACCCAAGCTACGAGTAGTTTAAGCAAAGGTGAAGAGAGTCAAAGAGTACATTATCGTTCGGTATATGTTGTCTTATGAAAACTTGACTGTTCTGATGGTTGTATCGGTATACACAGTGGGTTTATTCGTAATTACTCGAGTAACGAGTATATCATATTTTGTACGATACGATATGAGAGTATGCAAGTTTGATGGGTAAGCGCTACATGCTATCATGTATATTCTTATGTATCACCCTCCTGAGTATGCAAGTATACAAGTAGAGTACTACACTACTGTACTTGTATGAATACAGTCAAACCAAGGGTGGTCCATGGTCCATCGGGGACAAATAGACAAATACACACAACACCACGACCTCATTCAACGTTTTGCCACCTCTGTCTTACTCTACTTTACTACTTGTCATCCATCCCCTTTTCTCCCTCCTCCTAACTATCCTCTTTCCTTCTATTATATACCATCTATCATCTCCACTCTGTCCCTTTATTCGACCGTCCAGTAGATATCAAATCAATATCTGCGGATCCGTCAGAGGGGCTGTGCGATATAATGAAAGAAAAAGGCGTGAATCCAAATTCTACTTTTACACAAGACCATACGAGAGAATTGGGGTCTACTTCGAAATTATCACCAGAAAGAATATCGTTGATAGATGTTTCAACATCACCAGGAAGAATATCGTTGAAAGATGGTTCAAAGATGAACAAAGGTATAAATCCCACTGGACCGAGCGATCAAGGGGAGAGTAGGAATGATATAAGAAATGAAATGATAAACCTTCATACGAATGATACACATTTCGATCCGAGGGGTTCAAGTACCGATAAGAGGGGTTGGAATGTCAATAAGGAGGATAAACTTCCCGAGAAACGTCTTGTTACTGGTGCTGGGAAAGATAAAGGGAAGAAAGATAATTGGTTACTTAGGAAATTTATGGTACTGTGAGTTTTCGCTGTCTTGTTACTTTTTTGCATTTACTTAGGATTATGATGGATATTTTATCTCTCATCTCTTTATACTTCCTCGTCTGCCATTTCCTTACCTCTCTTTAGGATTCTGATGAACTTTGAAACTCCGGATTTGTCCATTTCCTTGATATTCTTTTGACCTCTGAAACCTCGGATCCGTCCCATCTCCTTGGTGTGCTCAATAACTTCAAAACCTCAGTCCCGTCCGTCTCTCTTGGGTTCTTCAAAATAACTTTAAAACCTCCATTCCCTCACCTCTCGGCCTCTCGGGATTCGTCTGTAAGATCTACTCAAAGTGAACATGTTCGACTACCTCTTCGTCGGGACGTTGGTCTGAGAATGAAACCTATTTCTTATCCAGACATTTGTTCAGGAGAATACAAAAGAGTTAACAAGAGGTAGTGCTGACGCTGATATCTTAGAATTCTACTGGGTTTATCTATATGGGTATTCTACGTTGTCGTAGGTCGGATATGCGCCAAAAGTATCCAACGAAGAGGGAGGTTTGGTAGAGCAGCAGGAGTTGGGATTTTGATAGGGTTTGTGGTTTTGTGGTTGATGAATATGTGGAATTATCTCAAGGTGAGGTTGTTGGTCTGGGTTTTTTTTTGGCATTTGGTTATACTCTCTTCTCTCTCATCTCTCACTCCCCTCTCTTACACTCTACTCACACACTCTCCTCTCTGTTTTCTCACAGATCACCTCTTCCTTCTCAGCGGTCGTGGAAGAATTAATCCTCTGTGACACAGATCCTTCATTGATCACACTGACCCGCCTATGAGATAACTAGAAGCAATGTAATATCGAGAAGACTCACTGACTATCAGATCACTCTCACTGGACCTGGTTTCGCTCGTGATGTAAGTCGTTTCCTCCTCTGAACATGATCGCACGAAAGCAGACAGGTTGATGATCATAGTACGTCGAAAAAACTCCACCTCCAAAAATACCGGAACAAACATGGCAAACTGGTCAACCTTGGCCACCTTTCAACCCTTCCATCCGACCTCAAAACTCACCTGACACTCAATTCCCACCTCCACCTGCCCAATCTTTCCCCATTCCTCTACCTCCCGGTTCCACAGGTCGCACAGAACCATCGGGCACCGTCGATTCCTCCGCCCCTGATCCTTCCACCCTCGCACCAGCAATCAACATCGCTACTGAACTCGTCGGTCATCCGGGTCAACGATCATCTTCCGCCACTCTCACCGGTCCCACCCTCGCGTCCCTCAAAACCGACATGGTGTCTCACCCAATGGGTGATGGCTCAAACCAAGATCCTGAGTCTCGTCCGATAGCGGAAAACAGAATCGTATCGGGCTCATCTGCCCCCAGCAGACTTGGGGATGATACTGAGCAGAACCCAGGAGGATCGAGGCAAAAGAGAAGAGGTTGGGGAAAAGAAGATTTGACCGATTGGAGAGCAGTTAGAAGACCAGTACCTACTGTCAATGTGGGTCCGAGATGGTGTCAGTATTGCGAGATCGTCAAACCTGAACGAACGCATCATTGTCGGCATTGTGGAACTTGTGTTTTGGCTTTTGACCGTGAGTAGAGTGGTCTTGACTAGTGCTATCATCTGTCATTTGTGCCGTCCATCTTTAATCTTTTCGACGCTCAATATGCGATGATCGTTCATGTCACGGATGACTCGTTCGTACGAATGAAATTCTGGGTGTTAAAAGACTAATGGTAGACCATTGCCTCTGGATCGGTCAATGTGTCGGATGGCAGAATCATAAATTCTTCATGAACTTTAACTTTTGGGGATTATTGTTCAACTCATACACCCTCGGCGTGCTCATTGCTTATGCGGCAAAAGCTAGTGGACAAGATGGAGAGGTGATCACACTTGCTATCATGTGAGTTTAGCCCACGCCAACCTCCGCGTTTTCCTCCTCCCATCGACGTGATATCCTCTGCTTTACTTCCCCCTCATGTTCAGTCTAAGTTACTCCGACTTCAGAGCCTCGTGACTACTTTTCCTTGCTCGCAGCTCTTGCATGCCATGAGATGTACCTGACAACAGAACGGCAATCTTCTCAATGTTTACCTTCACCATGCTTCTCACCCACCTTCACCTCATTTTGACGGGCCGTACGACAGTCGAATCGTTCGCCGGTAGGGATCAAATGGAGGAAGAAAATCGGATATTGCAGATTGAGTATGGCATGTTTTGGCATAATTCCGAAAAGAAGAAAGTTCGTAGGAGGTGGAAAGAAGAATTTGGGGGTGTGTCGGTGGACCAGAGGTGGAAGGTCGGGACGAACAGGGAAAGATGGGAGATGAAAATGGGGAAGAGATGGTGGGAGTGGATATGTGAGTGGTCGATTCGACTCTTCTCCCCTTCACTATCCACAATATAAAAATACATCTTCACTCTTCTTCCATTTCCTGATCCACTCATGTTCGAGGCTATTTTCGACAGCTCCTTCCACATCCACAAGGTTGTAGGGGGTAACCTTGTGAGGTGTCACTTCTGTCCCACCTCGCGACAACTCAATGACCATTTGTGGTACCGTTTTGTGCTGCTTGTCGTCTGGGATCTCAACTCACCATCAGTCCCCGTGGGTCGATCTACAGGCGATGGCACACACTTTGAGCAAAATCCTCATCTCGGACCCAATGGCGAATGGCTCATGGTTCAAGATTGGCCAAAGGACCTTCGACCTGTATCAAAAACGACTTCTTGATATCAGAACATCAACGACAAATCTGCATAATCCGAAGAACAGATATAATCGCATTTTCTCACTATGTGTTGTATCGATACTGTGACATGCATATGGTCATCATCTCTACCCTCCTCACATCTTCTCCCCTCTGTCCAGATGAAGGTGCCTTTGGTGAAACGGAGAAGAAAGGAATAAGTGAGTTCAAGGAAGTCCGTCGAGTAAAGGTGTTCAATCTTCCTTCTGACTATGACCCATAAGTTTTTCCAAGATCTGATATCTTCCTTCTTCCTTCTTCTTCTTCTTATTTACTTATTCCATCTGACATTCTCTTCTATTCATGTTGTACTTAAGTGTTGAAGGTGAAGAGTGAATCGAATTTTGCCACTCCGCACAGACCTCGCGACTGATTTTCACTTTTCTTCCCCACTCTCCCCACTCTATCCTTTCACATTTCCCTCTCTTTCTCTCCTCTCGCCACCTCACAATTCAACTTTCCAAGTAGAGATCGAAGGAGACTGGTGTGCCGTTGTTGTACAGATACAAAGAGGAGAGTTTGTACACAAAAAAGAATCTCAACAAGTCTTTTCGATGAAAACCCATAGGACGATCCTGGTCTTTTCTCTTCTATTTCCTTACCTTTCTTCCATTCCTCATGTCTATGCTGGCTCTTCCAATGATAGACTGTCAGAGAAGGTAAATGATAAACTAGGTGAGCTTGCAAGAATTCTTCTAATCGGCAAGTTGAAGCTGACATTTCAGACATCTCCCATCTCGGTCTTACCCCACAACAACAAAGAGAAGTATTCGGTAATCTAGGTATGTACTACTATCTCTCATCCAGTACATACCATCACTCATCCTATCTCTCGCAAGCCTCAGCTACTCCGACAGAATGGAGGGAAGCTGATCATTCAGATATAATATCATCCATGACAGAAACTGATTGTCATACATCCATATCACTCCGTCTTTCCTCTTCATGCACCACCGAACGAGATGGTATGGTAGGATTGCATGAGGATGATCGCAAATCAGGTCAGCTCTCGAGGAAAAATCCTTCCGAGCTGATGATCAGTGGCTATATCACTCACATTATGTGCAATCTCCTCTGCTTTGTTACCTATCCCAACGGAATGTTCGGCGTGGTACGGTCAACCTGGAATGGAAACCGCACGGACTAAATCGATCACACGGTGGATGAAAGGTGATGGAGAGGGAAGGAACCTGGCGAAGTGTTTAGGGTGAGCTTTTGCTTTCGCTTCAGGTGATATTGATATGCCAAGCTCACATATGGTAGAGCATTACATAGAAGTCCACAAGATTGGACTACATATAATGGTTATCTACGAGAAGCCAGTGAGTCAATCTTCGGATTTTATCCGTTGAGAATCAAGCTGAAGATAGCGCAATTGTGTCACGCTATAAGTGGGAAACGGGAAGCAGGTGAGTTCAGCTAGTGTTCGCTAGAGCCATTTTGAGCTGATATCGAAGAGATAGCGAGACAAACATATGTCAATGCTACTTTGGAGAAAATCGCATTGCTCAATTTGATGAAACAAAATGAAGAATCTCGAGCCACTCGGGAATCTCGCTTGGTCTCTGATCTATCAGAAAAACTACAAGTAAGCTCGGTCCTCTCATAAGTGTCCCTGAGCTGATGAATAGACGATGCAGAGTACCAATCAAGCGGCGGAGAATGCATTGAGGGACCTTAACACTCAAACCGTCATGCAGGAGGATAATCTACTTCTGTTATCTACTGCTTTGGAGGATTTGGAAGTTGGGAAGATTGCTTTGTGGAGGAATATGGAACGAGACGCGAGAGCAGTTCAGGATAAGTTGTTCACTGAGATCGAAAGAGCTTGGGAAGATATTCTTCAAACACGAGTGAGAGAGGTGAGCTTCCTAGTAGTGTATTCTTTTGCCAAAGCTGATCAGATCAGTTAGGAGAGGATTTACGACTCGTCACACAAGAGGTGCGTGTGCCAGACGTGATCCGAACGCTGTTGACGTGACTAGCATTCGGATGAACTCTCAGCGACGAAGATGTCTATGGAGGGTCATCTGAAACAAGCTTTTTCTGATACTTGGGAAAGACAACATCAATTATCAGAGATGATCATGAGAAATACGGTCAGTCCTGTTGGTTCGCGGCGTTGGAGAAGCTGACCCAGCAGGACAACCTCCGACTAGAGATGTTCGCTCTATCAACCATGACGGGAGAAACGTTCTTGGTGAGCTCGATCTTCCCTGGAGATCTCTATGAGCTAACCTACTTAGAATATGAGAGATATCCAAACGATTAGCCAAGATTTACATCCCACCCTCATCTCAGCCGTCTCCAATGCTCTCGAATTGAAAGTGAGTCCGTAAGTTCTAATTCTACATAGCTAATGTCAGTCCGTGCATTCTGAACTCCTAACTTCATTACATAATTCAGCGTCCGAGTCGAAAGCTCTATCACAACTCGCCGCTACGTTTCATGAGAGTATCAACGACACTCTGTCTTCCTTGTCAATATGGAAGAAAGATCTTTTATCTCACAAGAAACGTTGGTTCGGCCCTATCACATTGTTCTCAGGTATGTTCATCATAATTCCTTCCGCCTTTCTTGCTCGTATCTCCCACGACATCCCTTGAAGCTTTTCATCCTTCCATAGTGTCTCTTTCTTCATGACGAGCCATCTTCATCTCTTCAAATCCTTTTCTAAGGTTTGTTCCTCCATATCCGATGGTCAATGCTATGAGAAAAATCACAGATCTAAGCTCATGGATCAGGCCCAGCGCTGTTCAACCCCCAATTAGGAAACATCAGCAAACCCAATCTCGCAGTCCTCTCTCATCTCCTAACATGGGTTATCAACATCATATCAAGTCTACTCCTCATGTGTCTCTGCGGTGCCGTAAATCTCTTTTCTATCTACACTCCTACTCTTTGCTGATTGATAGGTATCTTTATTAGCTTCAGCATGGTTACTTCTCCGTACAGGTCTTGGAACTTTGTTGAAAAACGCGATGAAAACACTTCGAACTGATGATTCTCACGAAGTAGGAGATATCGAGAATCTTCCACAAGCTGTGAAATTGGAGAAATGGTAAGCTGCGTTCAGTCACTTCACCAAAGCTTATGAATAGTCTCAATAGCAATACCACATTTGCTTCAATACGAACCCCATCAACAATCTTACGTACTCCTCATACTCTTACTTCATACCTTCACACTCCTCCTAATTCAATGCCGACCAACAAGATCTTTCAACTTGATAATTCTTTGAAAAAGGTGACAAACGGTATGAGAGAAGAGATAACACCTTTGTATCCTTGGAACGCACTTCAATTAGCTTTCACCCCTGAAACCATCCCTCGAAATCCTCCCTTATCTCGTAAATCTCTAGGTAGAGGTTCAAATGGGAAAGAAGGAAGAAGACGATGTGTTTCTGAACCTCCATAATCATGTAACAAAACTCGCTTGTATTTGATATGTCGTATGAATATGTGGTCGAACTCAGTATATGTATGTTGAATGAATATGTGGTAGAAAAAAGCATGAGATGTGTGCCTGTTGTGAGTTTTCTGGTGTATAGATGAAATAAGCATGCATATGTCACATTGATACAGTGGTTAGATGATATATATACAGTATTGACACTGAACAAAAAAAACATATATGCAAGTATTATACAATGTGAATGCAATTTTAGAGAGAAAATATAAAATATAAACTGTTTTTAGATCATTTAAGTGTACATATGTCACAATATAGCTTTGTAGAGTAAAACCCTTCCTTCTTTTCGTACTTCGTATTTCATGTATCGTATATCGTATATCGTGTCGTGGACCTTCAAAAGCGAACCATGAATCGTGAATTGTCAATCGTGAATTGTCAATCGTGAATAGTGTATGATCATTACCTCCCATTTCCCTTCTCCTTTTTGGTCTTTCGTATTTTGTATTTTGTATTTTGTATTTTGTATTTTGTATTTTGTATTTTGTATTTTGTATTTTGTGTTTTGTGATCTGAGTTACCTCGACAGTATGATCCCATCGTTTGACGAGCTCATCCCTATTTCCTGTTCTTTCGTTTTCTCCGATCCTTCAGAATCTTCAAGAGAACTAAATGAGATTTATCCTTTCCCATCTCCCCCTCGTTCCCGCATCCCCGAATTCCCATGCTTGCATTCGACCTGTTACCATCCTACCTGCCTAGCAAACTCAGACAAACTCGTCTTTCCACTCAAATACGAGATTTTGACCCGCTTCAGAAGTCGTTACATCGACGAAGCAAACATGGTCGTCCGAGGAATTCGATCGATAATCCATACAAGATTTGTCCCAATATGGAATGTATGTAACAATTTCTGTTGACATCTCGGAAACGGAAAAAGATGACTTGTATACATTCGGATATTTGTATACATTCCGAGTGGATGTAGACACTATTCGATGGAACACAAAATAGGGCAGGATCGAAGACGATGTTTCAAGACATTTGGTGAGTGACACGTCGCATCGTTTAACTTATCACAGACATTATCACACGTTGACCATGAATCGACATGATTGGGGTTGAATTGAGATGGGAGAAGATTAGGAGAGATCATGTTGGACCCATTGGTTGATTATGAGGATCAGGAATGTATCCTTGATTGGGAGGGTTCATCGCTATGATACCTGTTATTCAGCATGTTGACAACGTCTTGGATTTTCGACTTGAACTCTGTATCGAACTATGACGTATGTGTTTATTCCTCTTGCAGTGGATCCAGAAGGAAAATCCAGGAAATACCGTCAAGTGTAAGACGAAGAGAGGGAAAGACAAGGATCAGGAAAGTAGAGGTGTAAGTAGATGATGTACTATTCTGACGACTGGGAAGAGTATGAACGAAATGAATTGAGATAAATTCAAAAAGAAGAAGGAGAGGAGGATACGAAAATTGGGAGACAAGGATGGGAAGTAGGAACAACTCCAAAGTTTAAACTCACCATCCACTAAAGCGTTCCAATAAACACTATTATTCCCATCCGTCTCAGCCAAAGATCCTCTTATACCACCCGTCAAAGCCCCACTCATCAAACTAGGATCCGCCATACCCATACCCATCAAAGGTCCTCCTCCTCCTACGTTTGGATCTCCCCAACCTCCAAACCCACCAAAACCTCCAAGATCCGTATACCCTTGTCCGACCATTCCACCTTGTTGCATCAGAGGTACTTGACTGCCATTGATATAACCCGGTAAACCAGGTTGAGGATAAGCTTGATATTGTTGTAAACCCAATGCCGTATCAGCAGGTCCGAATTGAGTGTTTGAATAGATCCAATGGTCTAACAAACGTTGTGGATGATCATCTTCTGAACTACTACCCATTCCGGGAGAAGAATGAGAGTGTGCTCGTCCTTCGTTTCGGAGGAAACTGTTGACTAATGGAGAACGTGAAGGAGTTTGATTCGGGTTAGTGGTGGGTGGACCTCCGGAAGTTGATGGACGAGGATTGGAGGGATGAGGATGGGGTGGAGAAGGTCGATTATCACGTTCAGAGGAGATGGCAGTGAAGGAAGGACGATCGGGATGGGTGGTTGGATGTGCAGGGTGGGAATGATGAGGTGGATGGGGTCTATGGGATTCTTCTTTCATTCGACGTTCTTCTTTGGCTCGGAGTTCTTCGTTGGCCATTGCCCGTCGGTGAAGAGTATAGATCTGGGGTCAACTTTCATTTCCTCTTCTCGTCGAGGTATCATACCCAGCATACCGGACAATCCACGCCATGAATGACTAGCAGTGGTATCGATATACTGAGAAAGCTATGAGCGTAGAGCAGGTAGCAGACGATTAGTGATGACAATCCGGAAGGAGAAGGTAGGTGAGATTTCTGACAACGATGGCCGTAACTCACAATGCCAACTTCCTTTTGAGAAAAATCGTCTGCTTTAGGATCATGAGGGTATTGATCCATAAAGCTCTTCATGATTTTCCTCATATCATCCGCTTGAGATCCGTGGGGATTCAAGATGATACTGATTCCGGCGATCATTGCTGCGTTCTCTTCGTCAGCTACAGTCAATCACGGTACACTAGCAAAACTTCTTCCACGCGGAGGACTGTGTATACAATGATGATGTATTGAGAAAACGTTCTCAAGGATGCTCAGTTTGGGTGACTCACGAATTCTCGGAAAGATCCCCCGAGGAGAGTCTCGAAAAAGTCAGGACAGTCCCTCTTGAAAGCATTCCTCTGACCTGTCAGCTCATGGCGACGGGGTCGGAGGGGAATACGAACAATCTTCCAATCCGTCACGGCGGCTTCGAAGCATGCGTTCCTGGATAATGCATAACGGTTCTGTCGCAGTTTGCGGAGTAGGTATGGACGCTGTCCGGTCAGTATTGTTTACGAATGAGACTGGATGATCCTGTTTGTTACAATGAGAGAGACTTGGCATGATTCCCACGGATATGTGATGTCAAGTATTGAAAGGAAGCAGGCAGGGAGGTATACAGCCAGAGAATGCTGGAGGAAATGAGACGAGGAAAGCAGAAGGTATTTAGATAGGGGTAGACGTAGAGAGGAGAGGACACAGGAAAAGGAGCCAAGAGTCCAAGAGAAGGGGGTGATAAGCAAACTGACATGCAAGATGATAGTAAAGTGCAAAATCTCCGTTTGGATATAATATCGGTGTACTGGGAGGAACCACAGTTCTGCTTTCATTAATGATCTCTCTCGCAGCCGACCATGGACAGAGAATAAACTAGCTCAGTCGCGAAGAAGATAAACAAGGAAGAAGACACGGATACAATTGAAAAGGGAGGGGAGAAATAGAGAAGAAGCGAAATGAGATGGCAAGGAACAAAAGGAAGAGACGTACTCGTATCGTAAGATCTATCAAAGTCGTGCATTCGAAATGCAGCCGGTAAGTCCTTCACAAACTCTTTCAACTCTGCATCAAGATCTTCGATGACTTTGTAAGTTGCCATACTTCTCAATCGTTGGAAATGGTTCGTGATCTATACGTATCAGTTCAATTTCATGATCGAGAGGTGATGATCGATAGCAGAAGCAGGGTGTAGATGACAAGGTGGATGTATGACATGGGACAAATGTAAGTCACAGATCCCACGCAGCAAAAGGCGACGACGTGGTGCATTGGAATGATAGAAGATTCGAGTGACAGGTTGAGGACGTGGTGAAAGTCATCAGAGTGAACTGGGAAAGCCGAAAATGGTCAACAGACCTTTGCCACTATCAATCCTAGACGATGTCGGAGTATCAAATACGTAGCGAATGTTGGGATGTCCATCAATTTCGGTGAAGCAGGACCATCGGGGGATATTTCACCCAAGTCGAGATTTAGGGGAGGACTATTGTGAGTCATACTTGCTTCGTTATGTTTGAGAACTTACTGGGTGTCTACACAATCTTGGTTGATAGATGTTGGTCGACCTATGAGACACGAGTATCTGGGCGTCAATCATTTGTCAATTGTCGAACGGATAATTTAGTCGCACGGATAATTTGACAAAGAGGGGGGCAATGAGTTTATGATAGGACTGTAGGGCGGGAAATTAGATCTTTGGGGAAGTATGATGAAGAGATGAGAAAAGAGGTGATTGAGAAAGTCAAACGATTATTCGGAGAGGAGCGGGGCTTTTGAGACATAAGGAAAAGGTGAAGGCGAAGGAATGAGTCTTCAAGGGAACTTAGCTGAGATAGTCCGGATAGAAGAGGAGTCAAAGTAAGAGCAAAAGTGAGAGACAAAAGAATACTCACGTAGCATCAGCATGTACGAGATAAGACCATAACCTTCTCCTATATTCCGTGACCTTTGCATTCAATCCAAGCTTTGTCCCATCACGATGAAGCAAAATAGCTTGTCCGACTGATAAAGCAGATCGAAATTCACACCATCCTTCCGCCAGACGTCTTTCGTGCATTAAAACCAAGTATAGACCCGTCTGGCCATAAGCTTTCTTCGCTTCCTCTGACTTTTAGTGACTTACAAGGATTTTAGTCTCTACCAATGGGAGACTTTCGGCCATGAGAGCGGAAGATAGGATAATGGCGGTTCGTGCTGATCATCAATATCGACGCATGCACGTTATATTCTTTGACCTCTCTGATATGGAGAGGTGTAGACATTTGAAGTAGAGGTATGGACAATTGAAGTAGAGGGGTGGACATGTCAAGATGACAACATGTGAGAAGAGATGAAAGCCCGGGTGTCGTGTGAAGTGCAGGAAGATAGAAGTGTGGAGAGGCGTGAATTTGGGTAAAGGACTAGGGGAAGAGGAAAGGCAAGATCTTTAAAACTACTCACAATTCCAATACATCTTCAGACTATAAGTCCGACGTTGTTCTTCGTCACCTATCCATTCTAGAGGTGCCACACGAATAGCCATAGCGAATACTATACAAACTAATGGAAGACCGATGACAGCCATTGCTTCCAAAGCGGGACTTTCATATATTAATTTGACATCTGAAATCAGCGCATACTCAACCACGCGAATGCAATCTGAGAAAGAAATCCGACCACCATGATACAGGACTCTTTGATCAAGCGCGGGGAGGACGTGAGTTGTGGAAAGTGAAATGTTGTGCTTTATGAGGAAGTGCAGTTTTAAGCAACCAGGGATGTATGAGGAGTCTCACAGTCTCCAAAGTTTTCTTGTGATATGGGATACCGAACAAAGTTGATCTTGCGAAAGAACCATTCGGTGAGTTGATGTCTCAGACCTGGACCAGGTAGCTCGCTGACTAGTCGCTGCAACTGCTATCTCAGCACGAGCATCAAACATATGGAATGAACTTACTTCTGATGGGTTCACACCGCAATCTTGAAAGAGACGAGTCATTCTTTCTGCAGGTGTACCGTGATAATCTAAACCGAGTGGGACGTTCGATTCGACCATCTGCGAAATCAGCTAGGAAAGAATCAACAACAATCCAAAGAAAAGGCAAAGATACGAAGAGGAAGGATATGAAGATACTTACTGATTGAGGTAAAGGATTACGAATGATAGTATCTCTATCGATATCCGTCGCTGTGACACCACCCTCCCTACCTTCAGTTTCCCTTTCTAGCAGAAGATCTTCTTGATCATTCATCGGAAGTCTTGAGGGCGATAAGGATTGGTCATCAGATGAAATACGAGGATAATCTAAAGGGGAAGGTGAAGTGGCTGGGGCGTGATCTACGAAAGTCAGTTGTTTTCCTTCATCGTTAATCTTCTTTTTATTTGTCATATGATAATGAAGACGTGAATGACGTGCTCACTTATACGCCAATCTTGTAAAGCTTTGGTCTCATCAATCCCATCTATACGATTGACCATAGCATTGACTAAAGCTTCTATCCTAGTCACACGTACAGTCAACGTTGGTAATGGTTGAGGTCTACTTGATTCTCCCATCAAACTCAGACTATTTCTCTTGATCCCTCTTTGATTGATGGTAGGGATGACAGGTTTTTTCTCTTTGTCAGAACTATCCTCACCTGCCTTAGAAGGTAGACAAAGTTCAGGTACACCTCTAGCTTTACAATGCTGACAAGGAGTTTCTCGATTACACTTTTGTTTCCTCTTTGAACACTCTGCGCAACTTAAAGCTATCCTTCTTTTCTTCTGTTTCGCTTGTTCTTGTTCCACCTCTGGAGTTATAGCTCTACTTGATGTATCTTGTTCTTTATCCGAATCTCTATTGATAGAGGGTAAAAGAAGATGTTCGAGACTATTTCTACGGGGAAATTCGGGCTGAGAACGTGTGCCCGGCTTGGAACTTTGACCGATGCCGAGTGTGTGAGGATTCGTGTTAGCATGTTGTTGCTTCTGTCCTCCGTTCCCGATTGTTCCGAAGGAAGATTGGGCAGAATTGGATTTTGAGGGTGTTACCGAGAAAGCAGGCCAATTGGCACTCATCTCCCATTTTGTTAAAGGGGCACCGTAGTTGCCTTCAGCAGCTTCGGCTCTCATGTGTGGGGAATGTTCGGGTCCAGGAGCGGTTGTAGGTGTGGTAACCCATGTCGGTTGTACGAGTGGAGAAGGTCGACGGGCGGGAAGACCTACCGGGGCAGAGTGGGGTGTGTTGCGGAAGGAAAGCGAATGAGAAGCGCGTGAAGGACCTGATGGAATAGGAGGTGGTAGTTGACCACTATAAAGGAGTGTTGTACGTGAAGATTCACCAGAATCTGATTGTGGTCTGGAATTGTTGGTCCCATTTGAATTACCTCCACTGTTGAGATGCTGTGGTTGGTTGAGGATCCCGCCAGCAGGGACGGGGGAAGGGAGAGAACGATAGCTTTGGTCCGAAGGACGTCGATGACCGTGAGATTGAGGATGACCGTGGGGGTGCATGACCGAGAAGGGAGGGTGGAGGAGACAGAATAGGAGTGGACGGGCGTAAGGGCGAGTGAAGCGCGAGTCGAGCTGGACTTCGGGGTGGGGAGGTCGAAGGGGCAAAGGGGCCAAGGGGGGGAATGGAAAGAGAATAAAGTCGTCGGTCGTCGGTATCGGTTTGTCGGTAACTTACTGTCCCCGATTGATGTTAAAGCCGAATTGCTGACTAGATTACTTTTACTTTTTCACGGTGGGAGATACCAAAGCGAAGGCGTGGGGCGATGAGCGATAGGCAAGGGGGGAAAGTCGATTCGGGTAGAAAGACCCCAAACGAGATCGATCTGCTATTCGGCTGTCGGTTGCGGCTGAGATTTAACATGCGTAAACTGGGTAAAATTGGGTAATGTGAGAAATGATGTCGATCGATGTTCAAATTCAACTCCCAAAAAGGTTGAACTGAAAGATCGACAATGTTCACTTGTAATGGTCCCCGGTTTATCCTTGCGATCAATGAAGAGTCGAGCGATAGAAAGTGTACATATGAATGACAAGCCGCCCGTCAGCCCACGCCCCGAGAAGGAAGGAAAGGCTTTGGTGGGAATCTTTTGCTTCGGCGCTTCGGAATGTCGTGATGGGAAAAGAAGAGAGGTTTACGCAATCGGTAGTGGTAGTACGGAGTCACTCGGCATTCGGCATCGGACAGTTTACGAGATACCAAAGGTGGAAAGAATGACTCGAAGCTGGGAACGGAGGTGTTCACGTCGGTGCTCAAAACGACATGAGGCATGCGGCAATGCGTGGCACGGCGTCAAAAGAGGTTAGAGGGCTCGTGCATGTTGACTGGATGACTTTAGATGACTGGCACTGGATGCCGAACAGGATCCGTCTTTCGGTCACTTCGCTTATCCCTAAAGCATCGATCGGGCGTGATGGATCGAATACACTTTAGACACCGAGAGAGGGAATAACGTGGCGTGACGAGTGGCGGAGATGACGGCGGCCGGCGGTTCGCTTGTATGATGGTCAAAAGTGAGTGAGTGAGTGAACACGTTGCATGACACTCACTCTTCTCTCTTTTGTTCCCTGTGAATACGGGAAAGGTAGGGTTGAAAGAGTACGTGCGGGTAGTGTGAGACTTTCTTCAATAGGCAGTTCAAAAGTGTTCGAAAGAAAGAGTCGAGACCGAGACCCTTAAAGGGAACGAATAGATTCCAGTTCGGCGCGTTCCATATTTCCCCTTCAAGCACGAGGCAGTAAGGTTTGGCGATTGGCAAGTTGTATGGTCCGAGAAGCATATTTCATATCCCTTTGGTGACCTACTGTATCTCCTCCTCAGCCTACTAACATGCCTAGTCTACATGACACGAACACCATCACAATCATGCGTCGTCCTCTGTTTCATGGGCTATGTCTCGACGACCAATCAAAACGCGGGCATATCACAACACATCACTTATCACTCCCTAACCGGCCGGAACTAAGTTTTAGATGGAAGAATGGAAGAGGGTGAACGAGACAACTCATTATTCGTTCGTCAAGGCGTCATAATCAATCAATCATTGGTACGCTTTGGTACCATTTTCGACATTTGACCATTCGCCGCGTCTGAGACCTGGGGAAGATGGAACATTTAGATTGCTCGACGTACCGACGTGTAATATGGAATACGAACAATGTGTTTCAGCATCTCTCGACTCGCGAGATCGGATGATCGACAAAGTTGAACCTGCCCTTGTGAATAAATTTAAAAGCCTCAGAGGGAATCATAATAGACGATTGTGCAGGGAGATCCTATAGGAAAGGTTGAGACAGTCTGGAGTTTGAGGTTTGAAGTCTGGACCGTGATCAACATCGCGGGATCGACCTGTTTGGGCGATGAAGCCGATCAACTACAGGAATAATGAATGGTACTGTGCCATAAGTCAGGAATAAATCTACCCGTAACTTACTCGTACTTCCATTCTACCTTATTTATATACCCTTTTTGACGTCCCAAGCATTCCGCCGTACGCTGTAGGTCCTGAGTCTGCATAGCCCGCTCACTCGTATGGTCATGGTTGTGGAATCATTTGGTGATTTCGCTCCAAGATATCCCTGCCTTCTTTGAATTGTCCAGTAGCGAGTTACTTGAATTACTTGGATATCTATAGGAACATACACTTCCGTGTTTCATTTCCTCTCTGGGTCATTGCTCGTTCAGTAGAGGGGGTTACGAGCTGCCCTTGTGGTATCGTTGTGAGATGGAATAGGGGTTGTCCGAGCAGTTTGTCCGCAACCATCAGCAGCTAGCAGCTATCCTATCACGGCCTGAGCCTGACAGCAGCCGGCAGCCAAGCATTTCACATCTTCCTGCACATTCCCTCCAATTCCTGGGTCAAGTCAAAGTGCGTAGTAGTAAGCAATAGAAGCTCATCTACCCTTTTCATCCCCTTCCGATCCTCATCGGCCTCAAACCCGGGGTTTACCTAGTTGCGTTACAAACGTATCGCGCATCATTCCACCCATCAACCAATCAATCATCCATCAAATTCCATCCTCCTCTCCTCCTCTCTCTATCTCTTTCGCACATCTCACTTTCAAACTAGCCTCCCTACTTCCATTGTCCGGTCTTTCAGGTCATTGACCCTCGCTTGTCTGTCATTCGGTTGTCCGGTGATTTCGACTTTTTTTCGAGGATCACCCTCCATCGTGAGATCATTTGATGGAAAAGTAACACATGTACATAATATCATTCCTTCGCCACCCAAACCCACATTGATCTTCATTATCTTCCTCACTTACATACTTTTGTGTAAAAAGTCTCATCGCCATTAACATCATCGAGACCGAACATCACCGAAAAGACGACTACATCATACACTCCCTTGTTTTAGTCGAAACGATTTCCAATCACCGCCCAAGACCACCGTTCAACTTGACTACGCCCTTACCTCTCTGTTCTGTGTCACATACCACCCCAACCCCTACATTCTTCTTCTTCTTCTTGGATCCTCGATATAAGTTTTAGTGGCTTGGAGTTTGGAGGTTTTTGGTAAATGGTTGCCACACCTTCCACGCCGTCAGACGGCAGTGGCGTAAAGTTGATTAAACGAGATGGACATAAGGAAGGGAAACCTAGTAAACCTAGTTTTAGTTGTGCGGAATGTCGTAGGTTAGTACTATTCTTTCTTGAAAGAAGATTTTCTGGTGAGGATTGTATAGGTTTCATGACTGATCTCTTAGACTCAAACTCAAATGTTCGAGAACTTGGCCATGTACCAGTTGTGAGTCTATCTGTTCTTCCTGCTCACTTCCTCCCCTCCATCCAACTATCGCCACGCAATAGAAATGGTCGAGTACAGACATCACCCAGAGGAACGAGTTCGAGGGCGGAATGTGAATTGGGGTTCGATGATTTACAAAGATCCGAACCGATCATACTGATCAATATCTAGGTGTCAAGCGTGGTTGTCCTCAAATCTGTCCAAATGGAGAACTACGTACAGGTTCAGGTCGTCGTGTAATCTTAGCCAATACAGAAGAAGTGAGTTGATCTTTCTATCATTTCACACCACTTTATAAATGTACCAAGCTGATTTTAAAGTTACACCAACGTATCCAAGCTTTAGAAATAGCTTTAGCAGAATCTCATTCTCAACATTCCACCGCCCCACATCCTCTCCTCTCAAGCACTTACACATTCACCCCGGATCATGGCCCCTCAGTCCCCGTTCCTAGGGCCAAACCAGATCCTCAACCCTCTCCAGCGAACGATGAAGTAGAAGGAGCTTTCGGAACATTGACAATCACCCCTCAAGGGGAATCCAGGTTCATAGGGAGTTTTGCAGGAAGTGAATATTTGAGAGAAGAAGGAGAAGCAGAGGAGGACTCGTCACAAGCGCCTTTAACTCCCCCTCTCACAGGGGCGGAATGGACGGGTGGATTTCCGAGAGGTATGAATGAAGGAGGTTTGCACGAATATATTACCAATGGTACAATGGGATTTGATGTAGATGCTTTAAGAGAAGAGCTACCAGATTGGGAGACGGAGGGGAAAGGGTTATGTGAGAGTTATTGGGATAATGTCAATTGGATGTGAGTGGTTTCTTGTCTTACCACCCCGAAGGACTATTCTCTCTGCCTGTTATATATCTCCTTATCAATGCCCACTCCTGAGTCTTCTCCCTCGGCGTTTTCGGCGCAGGAACGAACGTTGGACATCAACGAGTAGACGAGACGATTGGGATGTTGACGAGATAGGTATCAAATCATCCCCCGACCAATGTTCGAAGGCGACCATCTTTTGAATGCCTATGATACCGAAACACCTGCCAACGCTCACAAATTAGCTTGCGTATTTATTGTAATGGCTATTGGAACAATGTTCGATCTTCATCGTCAACCTTGTACGTCCAATTTTCTATCCTTATGACTGGCTTTCTCTTCACTACACTCTGCTTCAATCTCTCAAGCAGATGACGATTTACTCCTCCACAATCCTCTAGTAAGATCTGATTACCTTAGTGTGTTTGCTCGCTGGCAGATTCGACAAACTAACTCACAGTCGATCCAAAAGGAGACAAACTATATGCATTGGGAAGGGCTTGTCTCAGTGCTGTAGGATTAGAACACGCCAGTCCCGCCACTGTCCAAGGTCTTTTACTTTGTGGGACATTCATATTGAATGATAAACGTAAGTCATCTTCTTAAACATGTTCACATGGTCTGATGGACAGATGGGAACGGCGCAGAGGTATTCTGGCCGATATTAGGTAGTGCAACTAAGGTGGCTCATCGAGTAAGCACGTATTTTCTGATCCATCTCAATCACTCCTATATCTACGATGGAACATCAGCGAGGTCAACTTAGAGAAAGCATGACTGATAAATAGTTGGGATTGCATCGCGATGGGGCTGCATTCGGGTTGTCGGCTTATGAAACTGAAGAACGTCGACAAGTATGGTGGGAACTTGTGGTAGGTTTTTCTTCCATTCTCTACTTCTCTTCTCCCACCCTCTCCAATTCCGCTCGCCATGATGCCTTTCTCTTTTGGAGGCTTTCTGATCGTGGTGACCATTCCACAATCCTTGTAAGGCTTGACAATCGTATCACGATGATTACTCCTGACCCATTTCACAATCATGACCTATATCAGATTGTACCTCAGAGCTCGAGAAGGGTTCACTATTCATGAAGATCACCATTCCGTGAAGACTTGAGCTGATGGAGAAGACATATGACAGACTTCAAGCAATGTGTTTCGCAAGACCATATGCTACCAGTAATAAGATGTCAGATACTAAACCTCCTCAAGTGGGCAGTGGTCTGTTGTCAGATCCCGATTCTTGTGAGTGTTTTTTTCTTGCTCATTTGGGATATCAACTGATTGAGTAGTTCACAGTGCAAAGGTTAGCATTTCCTTTGGTTCTTGTGATTTTCCGCATAATTGTGTACTTCAGTTCCCACAGTCCATAATCTGGCCTGCCCTTCCATATCATCTGCAGTCCATACCTCAAATTCTCCTTCCATATCCTCTACATTTCATACCTCAAATTCTCCATCCATATCCTCCACATTCCAGACATCGAATTCTCCTTCCATATCCTCCACATTCCAGACATTAAATTCTCCTTTCATATTCTTTAAATTTCAGACTTCAAATCGCCTCCCGTATCCTCTACACTATACGTCAACTTCTCCCATATCCTCTACATTCTATACGACAACCTTTCCTCCCAGATTCTATACTGTGCATTTCTTCCTTTAGCTTGATCTTCCGTTTCAACTTCGTATGTGACACAAGCTGATTAAACAGTACCGTCTTATCCAGCTGTTCGAACGGGTCATCGATATCGTGAGTCACTTATACCATTTACGACTCAGTTGACAAGATAGCAAACTCAAGTCACACCTGTATCACAGGGAGCCGTCATTGCGCTCGATAAAGAAGTGACTGATTGTGCGTTACTCTTTGTAGTGCCCTTCGAAGCACACTCGCCCCTCTCACTGTCTAGTGGTTTCCGCCAACTGGCACTACATGTACCACGAAATTTGATGCTGAATTTGATAATTTGTTCAAAATTGATGCTGACGCTTCAGTCAAGAACTCGGTACCGGAAGCCTTGTTACCTGGCGTGTCGATCCAAGATCTACCTTTGAACATGGACATACATCCTCATCTGGTCAGTCGTCATTTCCTCAATTCTGATCCCAACCTCCGTGTGACACGTATCCTCTCACTTCCTGTATTCAAACGTCTCCTGGGTTGTTCGGCATCGTTTCGTTTCTTTTCTGTCTGTTATCCGGTGAAATGATGGGCTTCGTCTTCATCCTCACAATCACCGGAACCTCCTCTGATCAACAGGTGATCCACCGACTCGGTATACGTCTTCTCGTCGCTCAAACCCGTCTACTCCTCAACCGACCATTCTTCTCTCGTGCCTTGGTCGACAGACCTGATGATCCGTCGTCTTCCAAATTTGGGCCGTCTTTCGTGGCGTTGTACGAATCGGCTCAGGAGATCGTCCAGCTCGTCAAACAGTTGGTCATTTACCATCCGAGTTTGATCGCCAGATGGTGGTTCTTTTGGTTTCACGCGTTTTCATCTGCTGTCTGTCTGTGAGTGAGATCGACGCTTCGTCCACGTCATTGTTGTATGAGACTTCCCACCGAGGTATCATCACATGTCTCCGCGACCGCAATTGCTTCATCTTATCTCGTCCATTAACGCATGTCAATTTGCATCTGGTGGCGCAAATCTGGTTTCCCCTATTATGCCGCCGGCAGCTCGTTTGTCCGTTCAGACATGTTCACTATCAAGTATAGAGCAAGGACTGATTACCAGAGCCGCTATCACCATCCGTGCTCCAGGTTGCGCCTTCGCCTCTCCCGCTCTACACGGAATGATTATCGTATGTGATATCTCCTTCGCCGCTCGAGAAGGTTGTCGAGCCAAACGAGGTCTTCCTATCCTTTTACGTCTTCGTAAACGTGCTGAAGAATCTCTTCATTCCGCTCACAACCCACTCACTTCTCCTTCTCCAGAAGATACATCAGGTGATGATGATCTCTCTCACTTGTCATCTTCCGCTAAGCTCCGAAGAGTGTCATCACCATTACGTCGACCACCTCCGAATGGAAATGGATTATCTTTAACTCCTCCACCAGTAGGAGGTACTTCACCGTTATCGGAAAGTGCTACGACTTCAGCGACATTGGCAGAGAATGGAATGTTCGAAGGTGCCGTGCCAACTTTCCCAATTTCATCCGTTTCCGTACCTATATCCTCAGATTTCCCTTCGATAGGAATGACGAATTTCCCAAATCTTTCACAATTACCAAACCTTTCTCAATTATCAATACCTCAAATGTCTATGAACATGTCAAACAATCATCCGAATATACAAACAAATATACCACTATCACAATCAGGTATAAATCGATCAAATTCACAAGGAAGATATCTGAATCATACAACAGGAATATCTTCTTCATCTGGACAACAAAGAATGACTATATCACCTAATTGGTCTCAATTTTCACCTCAATCAAATACTCCCGATATGACTCAAGCACAAGGTTTCAGTAATGGAAATGGGAATGGGGATTGGAATTATTCGAATGATTTCATATCGGGTAATTATACACATGGGAATGGGAATGGGATTGGGATGGATCAGGATATGTCAATGGCTTTAGGTTTAGATCATGCTCAAGAAATGGATTTAGGATTCGATTTTGAAGCTTTTGTAAGAGGTATGGATAATTCTTAAGTTGGTCATTGGTCAATTTTCCTCGTTGTTTTGTTCTGTTTCATCTAGGATTTAACGTAGAGTAAGTACGAGTACAGTTAGTACAGTTGAATGTGTAAGGATGTTATGAATGTTTGATATATGGATGTAAAGAGTTTCCTCAAGAAGTACGGGTACATTTTACAAGCTCGATGCTAAGAACAGGATTGACAGCTAAATAGTACATCAATCATTCTCCATCTCTTCTTTCTTATCTCTGATCCAGAGGAATCATATGTCTCCTCTCAGCCCTTGCTCCTTGTCAACCATGAGGATATGAGATGAGTAAGATATTCTTGTTCGACTTACAATGGGTTGGATCCACTTTCTCATGCTACCATTCGACCACACGTTCATCCTCCTCCCATCTACTAAAGCTATGACGAAAGGACGAACCCTAAAACATGTATCCTCTCCTATCCTATCATATCCTCTCTCCTAGCTTCCAACATGCAACCTTGTCAACTTGGTAAAACGGGGTGACAACGAGGAAACCGATGATAGAGTACTTGTACTCTACTTGGAAATAATGGACAACCTCCACATTGTTCGGAAGTTTTTCCTTTCTCCGGCGGTAAAGAATCCCCTGATTCCTGATTTCTCTTCCCTCTTCCCTCTTTTGCCATCCCACCTGCGTACCATACTACCATACTACATGCTACAATCAACATATATATACATGCGTGACAGATGGGAACGATATGCATAAAAGAGAAAGAAATATATTTTGTAATCCGTATGAATTAATACTGTATTCGTAATGATGTAAGTAACGTATTCAACGTCAATAAATCCTTTACACAGAAAGGAGTAGTAAAAAAAAAACGTGACTTTCTCTCTCTTACCCCGATTGATTCGATACCACTTATGATCATTTTTTGATCTAAAGTTATGATCTGTGTGACCTGTGACCTTTTCATATCTTTATCTTTATAAACTTATTTCTTTTTCTCATAGGTCTACTCGTTTCTTTTGTTCTATTATCTTTCAACCATTCTACCTCTACCAACTATCTATCTATCATTCGTGAAGATTTGGAAATATACTTTTGATCGGTTCTTATTCATCCATAATAAAGTATATCCTTCTACACCTGATTATTCTCTTCTCTCCACTTCTCACCACTTCTATCCACTTCCTTCTATCTATATCGTTGTCACTCTGAGTGAAAGTATCTTGGAGTATCGGAGAGGTTGAGAGGTTGAGAGTGTTTGGTTTTATTAGACACGGACAGGTGAGTGAAACTCAATTGCTCGTCATTCTTTTGTCTTGGTTCTACATACTCGTTTTTCCCTTTTTATTTGAACAAATCACAATTCATATCTTCCCAATCTTCTCACTGATTCTACGATTTACAATGATGGTAAAGGAAGAAATAATCGTTGATCATAATAGACCTACTACATTCTACATCTCATAAGTCTCGCCCATCGCCC